TCCTTCGAAGTGACGCGACTCGGATCGAAACTGATTGGTCGTGTTTTTTAATGACTTTGACTCCTTTTTGTATCGTGTCGCACTTTTGGTTCTCTTACAAAGTTGTTCGAGTATAAGGAGTGAAGTTTTGTTAAATATGTAACGACAAGGAGACCATGGTTGGTTTTGTAAATTTATCTGACTTAAATTTAATTTAATTAAATTTAATCTAACTTAAACTTAATTTGATTAATTTATCTAACTTAAATTTAACTATTGTTATAAAGAGAAAACTTTCGCACTGATCTTTCGACGGTCTTCGAATGCCTTTTCAGAATCTTGTAAAACAAATTCCGACGATGATCTCATGAAAGAAGTTTTATACTTCTTTTACAACCGTTCTCTCCGTAGACTGCAGTCAAAGTTGAACGTTATTCCTGTTTAAAGTTGTAAACGTCGTTTCGATGTTCCCTCTTCCTTTCTCGAGGGATATGGAATTTTTTAACGGGGAATTTATGAGCCACGCTTACTCGTTAAGTCGAATGTAAACGCTGCTCTCACTCGCGAAATTGCATTCGGAAAGCATTGTTAAAAATATTAAACTTCTTTTACATGTGTATTTTATATGCAATGCAATTCTTCGCGTTGACTCATCGTCATTAATTCAAAAACAAATTTAGAAATCTGCATAGTTAAATTTTTTGTCTATAACTGCACAGATTGATAATTTATATAATTTTTTAATTTCGTTAATTAATTGTACAGGTAAACATTAATTCAAAAGCCGGTCCCCATTTATTCAAATAGTTCAAAAAGTATTTCTTAGTTTAAATACAATATTCTTTATTCGAAACTTTACTTTCCAAGCATCTTAATATCCCAATGTTATGTGTTACGGATAATAAGATGATTTTTCAGTCTCTGGCAAAAATTCTTCTTTTAAATAAAGAACCAAAATATAATAATTTGTGGAAAGGTAAAAGATCTGAATTAATTTTCGTGCACATAAATATGCCGCATATTCAACGTAAAGAATTTTCAAATCATCTGAACTTTATTACCAAGGTAAAACGCTCCTGCGCAAGAGGCAAATTCGTAAAGTCTGCGCGGTAGAGCAAAAACGTGGCCAATTCATTTCGCCGTTCGACCGTAAAATCGCCATTCTTCACGCTGAACCGTCACTGTCATAATCCGTGTCAGCCGAACGAGTGCGAGCCACACGAGACGAGCAGATGAAAGCCTCGCGAGAGTGACGAGCGTGCAATTCGAGCGGTGGCATCGGCCGATGCAGGCGCGACTGCATCCTGGCATTGTGAACAATGTCATTGCCTCCGCGGGTAGAGGCCCTTGCCTGGCCGAGGACGAATTTCCGGCACGCACGATCACCGCCAATGCCAAGTCGAATCAATTCATCGAGCTCCATTTGTCAACGCTGGCCGCGCGACTCGCGTTCGCGTCGTAAATCTTCTTTAAACGCGTTTCGCCGATTGTCGCGTGCGCGACATCCAGCCTTGCGACAATGTATGAATGCCCGATTAACCGGATCGCTTTGTCATCCATCCGCGATCGAAGGATAGCAGAATAGTAGAATCGTGCCTCGTGGCGACGAGGCGAGTTCTTCTAACTAAGAAATGTTTCATTGAAGTCGAATCGATTAACCACTTGCGCTGACAACTGATTGCGGACCATAACGAGTGACCAAACCGTATACAATAATTCGTCGCTTTCTTCTTGAACTCGTCGGTTCATGATATCACTATAGATAGAAATTATTGAGAAGTAACAAATTTATTATTTGCTTTGCCTGGGTTATACTTCAATATATACTTAAAACTGAAAAAAATATTGCAATTTTTGGGACAAAAAATTCTCGACGTGCGTGGCACGTTATTCCAGCGCGAGACGTTAAGGACCTAGCAATAATTTATCACGATATCGTGATACTTCGAGTCGGTTTCATAAAATTGTAGAATCGAATTTCATAAAATTGTAGAATCTGGAAGAATGTGGATTATAAAGAGATTTACATTAATCGTGAATATTTGTATATTTTAGACATACGAATTTTGAGATTTTTTTTATGTTACAGAGCATTATATCTCAGATATGTAGATGTATATTATTCGTAAAGTGGAGGTTTTGAAAATGGTTGGATTGTTTGAAATGACGTTAGCAGTTAGATTTGTTAGCACATCCTTAGCAATATGTGAAACTTCGCAATTTTTTGTTATTTTTCTTTTATAGCTGCAATTGTAAGCTTCTTATGTGTTTGTTAATTTGACACACGTGAGTAGGTTTGTACTATACTTTGTTGTTTATTTGTCAAATGAAAACATTTTATCTCGTGGTATGTAATAGATTCGAGTTAGAAATTTTTCACCTTCAATGTCACATGTATGTGTACCATCTAAAAGAATCAAAATTAAACCGTAATAATATTGATTTAATTTAATATTGTAATGACGTTTAATCCAAATTTAACATTGCAATAAAGCACAAGAAAAAATAGCTAACAATTTAAAAAAATATATTCAATCAAGATTGAATAATAAAAATACCATGTCGTGTATGTTACTATTAACAAAACTCTTTTTTCGTAAGAGAACAGTAAATTGGTAACATATATTTCAGTTAAAATGAACTGTTAATAAACGTGAAGGAACGGTGAATATTTCGTTCGTTTCAATCGTATGCACGCGGTTTTAAAGAAGAAGAGTAAATACCATGGGAATTCTGACCGCGTACAAACCTATTTCGAGAAAGCTACACGACGATCTTGCAGCGTGACTACGCGCATTCGGCTCGCACACGACTACTTCCATAGTAAACTTTACCTTGAGCAAATTATAGGATGAAACGCTGCATTTGACCGATCCGTTTGATCGACGCTCACGAGAGTGAAACCGTTTCGTTTATTTCCGACTAACGTCTAATGGTTCCGTTTAATACCATAGTCCCATATTAATTGTATCTAAGCGAGGAATTTTTTTTTTTGTTTTTTTTATTTTTTACATTTCAATCAACGTGCAACGGAAGTCTTCGAGCAACGCACTTACATAAACGTTGCGTTAGGTAATGTATTTCTTCTTTGTGGAAGATTTCGTTTGCTCAACACGTTCAGACAGAACTGCTTCTTCCTTATTGCGATAGATGAGATGTAGAAGACATAAACTTTACTTTTTATTGAGATATTCTGTTCAATTTAAAATGGAATATTCGCGTAACGGCGAACCAGATCAGAATGGTGAAGTTAGAAATTATGGAACAATTTTATGCTTTCTTCTGTGTTTGAATCTTAACATTTTAAATGATCTTCTGAATCTACATCGCATTACTAAAATTTTGCATCATGACGAATGTTTCTCAGAACCACACTATGTATCTCATGAATCTTTATGTAGACAGACACTCAGGTTTGATCGTAGAATATAGCAAAATTCATTCATTCAAACATTGCACCATTATCAGATCTACAAGTGCTACTTCTGTTTCAAAACTGGAAGAATTGAATAACACTTTATACAACAAAAGATCTGTAAATACATTACAATTAATATATTGTATTATATGCACGTGGAGTTTTAAAATTTTTCTGTCTACAATAAATATTGAATATTATTGAAAAATCCGAAATAAATTCTGTATATTATTAATACTATATTATAAAAAGTGCCCTAAGATTTTTGAGTAGTAGTACATTATAGTACTATGTCACACTTTGCTAATAAGCTTAATAAGCTAATTAATTACTACGGTGTAATCCAACCATGTTAAAACTCACCAAGATCGTTGTGCATTCTTCGCGAATCTCGATGTTTACACGAACAATGTTTTATATTCCTTGGATTAAATCTCGTCGAAGGTTGAATCAATGAGAGAAAAAATGTATTTAACACATAACACGCGTTTAGAATGGGTCGGAAAAGAAACGCCTACGTTTTCATTGCATAACACAGGTTGCCTCGATTTATTAGACAATTATTATCATCATTTTATTTCATTGAATTATTTTAATTATTGTTGTTGTTATTCAACGGAGAAATCTATCGATTTCCTTTATTTTTTCTCACAACAAGATAATAATTAACGATTCTATGACTGCTGGCTAATTTCTTAATTTACGAGCTCTTTTATACATTATTCAGATGCTCGAACGATCAACATTTTCATCGTGAAATCTCGATGACGCGAACGTTTGTTGAATGGTGATATAAAAGTTAAAATTACGTTGTTATTTAGAGTGTCAGTCAGTCGGACGGATTTTTGTATTCATCGAGAGGTCGTTCGTCACCTATGTGCATAGACTTAAGCAAGTCTTGGCGCCATAAAAACACACGGACTCTATAATTTATATTGTATTTCCTTTTTTTTTGTAACGTCTACTTATTATTTTGTTAATTAAAAAAAAAAAAAAAAAAAAAAAAAATAAATTTTTTTTTTGTTTCATATGAAATATCAACTTTTATGGAAAGCTTTTCTATAATATATATGGAATTTAAAAATATATACTTTTTTTATCTTCAAGCACTATAAACACAGCATCTAAATTTTGAGTAACAATTATAAAATAAATTGAATAAAATTTGGAAATAGAGTTGTATGTGCTAGCTACCATTATCAAGAAAATTATAGAAGATATTAAAATTATAATTTTGAAATTAGGGAGAATAAAAGAAATATTTTGTAATAAATTATTATTATTATATAATCATATTTGCAAAGAGTAATAGAAATTTTTGGTAAAAAGAAATTAGTAAACTAGAAAATATACAAAAAAAGAAAAAAAGGAATAAATATTTATTCACGTCAAGTGAAATTTTTAGAAATTTCAGAAAGTTTGGAAATATTAATTTAAAAGTTCTCCACGATTATTCCCCGAAATCTTTCGCCCAATTTAATCAGAGGGAAAGGTTTTGTGGCGACACAGAAGGGACGATCTTGTTGCCAAGAGAATTCCCGTCTGTGCTCGCCGGAGTCAACATCCCAGCCATACTTTACGTTCGTGTTTCCTCCTGTTTCAGCGCCAAACAGCCCACTCCATCTTAGCAACAGGGCTCACGTTTTACTCCTGCTGAATAGGCCTCAAGCCTCCCTCACGGATGCTGATCATGCAGTAAGGCTACGACCGGACTGGGGCAAGGTGAGAAACGTTTTTCTGTCATGGTACATTATCGAGTTAAAGTGGCATGCGGCGAGCAATGAACGTGCATATAACTTGCGTTATGTGTATAACTTATTGGGCGTTTCGTTTTAATTTATCTTTTACTTTCTGTGAACTGAAATCGTAGGATATTATTTTAATAAATCAGAACGTAGGATTTTTAATAAATAACTTTGTGTTTGTATAATTAAATTTAAAGAGGATGAAGATTATTTAAAAGCAAATCTGATGTATCGCACAAACAAATGAAAGATAATATATCACTGCTCGAACGTCTTTGAAAAATGGAGCAATATCTTAATGAAGCCTTTAAAGTCTTAATATAAATTATTAACAATTGTATTACAAAATATATGTTACATGAAATTTTTAAATTTTATAAAGAACTTTTGAGTAGTAATATGATTAGGGATTTTTTCTTATTGACACTTGAGTTATTACAATTAATATTTGAGTTGATAAATGAAAAGATATTTGGCACATAATTATTAAATTATGAACTAGATAGTTATTTATTTAATTTCATTCGAATTTTATATATTTTTCTCTTATAATTATAAATTTTTAATTATATAATTATATTTTCTCTTATAATCATAAAAAGAAATTAAAATTGACTATGTAGGAGCATAATCAATCGAAATTTTTTACATGGGGACAATCATAATATATGAGGCAGTGTGTTTCTTCTTCTTGGCACGCTGTTCGATCAGATGTTTGGCGACGTATTCTTTCCACCCTTAACCCAATTTTGGTCCAAACTCATCCAATCCACGTGTAACGTATTATTTCCAACTGAGATCCGAGGCTTAGATTAGATTTCTAATTCAAAGTAAAAACTTTGTTGAAGAATGTGACAAATAGGAGGAATTTTTCTTCAGTCGATTCAATCGATTTTATGGAAATCTAGTTAAATTTAGTTAATATTACATGTTTCTAATAAATATTATTGTAATTATTATAATTTACTATTAACAATATTTTGATCTTTTTTGACCACAAAATGGTAATTCCTAAATTTATTCCTTTCGTTAAACTTATCTCTATTTTTTATTGTTATTATTACTATTATCATAATCTCGAAACATAAGCTCAATCTCAATTTCATGTCCGGTTCTATTAGACAATATATAAAGTATGAAATAATGAACGAATGTTTTACAATAGATTCAATGAAATTTGCAATGTAATAAATAGCTGCATTACTTATAGTATTGACGTAAATTGATAACGGCTTGAATCATAACGAGATAATGTTATTGTTAACAATGGAAATGTCATATAGCATGAGCAAAAAACTGGCGCACATCATCCAGCGATAAATAGAAATAAAAGTAATCGTCCATATTTTTTTTTTTTTATTTTGCGTATACTAGATATATGGTTTAAACTTAAAGAAAAATACCGAATGTTTTTGAATTTTCATACAATGAATTAATCAAAGGCGAGTAACTTTCAAACTATTCTACACTTTCTATTTCACAGTATAAAATATTTCAATATTAATATTTGTATATCTTTCAACGTTTCAATTCATCGATCAAATTCTTCTTGTTTCTACGCCTGTGCGTCGTTTAAGATCTTTATAGTTGTTTTCTATCTACCGTTGCACAAATTATGCCTCTGGAAATGTCAGTACCGTTAAAGTGAAAACTGAAAATTAAAAGCAACTGCTTATTCGAACTAAAATATATTGTTTTATTATATATTATTATACCGTCAAATTTATATGAAATTTCTAAAAATTTGCTTGAAATTTATACGAATTTCTAAATTTATATAATTTATAATTTTACAATACATAAATTTATATATAAATTTATCAAATTTTTTTATCATACCTCCTGACTAATATATTATTTTAATTTTCGGCTTGTCATTTGTCAACAGGGTCATTACAGACGAGGGGTGGCTTTGTCGGCTCTGGGCCGACACGAGGAGGCGCTGTTTGCCCTTTGCATCAGCGTAGCCATCGACAAGAATCCACAAGCTGTGCGTCACGAATTGATCAAGGTATGCCGATTTTTCTGTTAAATCTAAATGTTACGCTGTCCTGCGAATAACGTTAACCTTTCGCGTCCTGTGAAAAAAAAAAAAAAAAAAAAAAACGTAGAACCGTTGCCATTCTATTCTTATTATCGACGAGCATCGATAGGTGAAAAACAGTTTTTCGATAAGTTTGAAAGGAAAAAATAACAAAATCGATTAAGATTTCTTTGATGAAGTGTTTCAAAAGTGCACAAGTAGAAAGTTTTTTATCATGCTTAATATTATCTTGATTGTCCTATCTATCGTTATTAACTTTCTACGTTTTTCTTGATCAACACGTTTTCTAATTCATTCCACGTGTTGAGAGTGACATTGTAAAACTGTAATCATGGAGATTTATTTCGACACTGATGGAAAAGAAATTATTTTATCATCTCACCATTTATTAATAATTTATACATTTCTGATAATGTTGTACATAGAAATAATTTTGAAATTCCATTGACACTAATGAGGTTATCATAAAATATTTCAGTTACTTAATACTAATAACACAATGTAGATTAATACATTCTCAAATCTTGCCAATAGAATCATGTTTCGCTACAGCGTTAATGAAATTTAAAAATGTTTCTTGTACAACGCAATTGTTCGACTTGTACGAGTCAATGGCTCCGATCCGCGTGGATTTCTCACCACGGAGCAACATCCTCGGCCTCGGCCATCGAAGAGGGATCCGTTAGCGTTCATTCTCATTTTAATGTGGTCGCGAACGATGCACGACCGATGGATACTAGCGAACAGACGAACGGTATAAAAAGAGCGAAAGAGAGATCCGAGATACCGTCGGCAAAGTCACGAACGCGTACAAAAGAAATGAACGTCTGTGCGCGACGGCATTTCCGGTTACGGCTGCTAGTGGTGTAGCTTAATGACTCGGTATGATAGTCGTCAGGTGAGTGACCCGTGCCGGGACAATGATAACTACTCGCGAGTAGACACGCTGCTCGAGGAGAGCCGTGCACATTTCGAGTTGCGTGACGCGCGTTCTTCTCGATTCTGACTTTCGTGCCAATTCCTCGCTTCTCTCGCTGTTTTCATTCCTCGTCTCTCCGCGCTCCTCGTTCGCAAACGATCGTACGTCACGAGAAGAACATCGTGAAAACGCGAGGAATATCATTAGACTGCGGTTCTTTGCGCGAACTGTTTGTCGCCGATACATTCTTAAACGTTTTACAAACACATATTTGAAAATATTCTTTTCACCTATTACAACGGATTACACGATATTACAACGGATATTTCAATTTGAATGTTTTACGCATCTTTCCGTGTAATGTTCTGTTCTTTGAATTTTTTGTAAGTAGGAAACACCCTATGATCTAAGTACGATGATTGAGAAACGTGCATCAGGTAAGCTAATGCGAAGTTTAAGCGCGTCTGATAGATTCACGAGGGGACAAATTTGTGATGCCAGTGTCCAACTTTTGGCGTTGGAACAATTTTCATGCATTGAGTGTCTAACTTTGATAATCGTAAAATGATTCGAATGATAAAATCTATAAAGATTTTTGCTAAGAGAGAATACCTTTCTCTTCAATTAAAATGATAAATAAATTGTGGATTTTAAATCGTCAATATCGCATTAGGCGTTACGTAAAATTATGATTCAGAATCACGAGGAAAGTAAAAAAAAAAAAAGAACGAAAAGTAGATAGTAGATACTGTGTCACTAACTTTCTTGCAACAATATCATTGCGTTAGATAAAAGAGAGTTGCATTAAACCGTGACTCAGAACTTTAAAGAAACGCGTTTTACATTCTTCAAACTATCTCTTTCCACAGATTGAACAGACATTACGTCTCGATATTCTCAGATTTGTGCATTAAACGAGTGTGTAAAGCACAGTTGACGAACCAGCTTTTAATTAGTCACGATGGCGGTCCTTCTCAACTTTATTTTCTGCGACGCAGCCGCTTTGAACAAGGTGAATAGCCTTCGCATCCGTTGTAAATAACAGTTATGTAAATTCATCGAATGAAATTAGTACTGAAAACTTCGGTAGAAACTTCAGTCGTGCACCACTCGTTTATTATAATTTACAGCGTGACGGACCACGGTGTAGCGTAATGCAAAAGTCACCTTTGCCTGAAAAAAAGAAAAAAAGAATTTACACGTCCAAGCGGGATTCAAAGGGTTAATTAAATCTGATTAAATCTGATTCTGCGCGAGAAAGACTCACGATGACTGATTGTACATCATGTGGCATTAACCGAAGACCACGTCACGCATCCAGTTTCCGTTTAGACAGTATTCGCACAATCGTTTCTTTATTTCTCGAGAGTATGTCTGATTAGTAATGCAATTAATATTGAAAAGTTCGGAGCAAGCGAGCAGAAGTTCATTTTCCTTAGTTAGAAAGAAGTTAAACTCTTCATCGGTAGACTGTACATTTTTTATGCGTTTATGGGAAGTTTAAGAAACTCAACAATTATATTTAATTGAAAATATCTAAACTAAAATTTTTCATCTTTGAACTACATTTCTTTAATTCAAATTTGCATGAAATGGAAACTTGTGATGTTTATTCGCATAAACATCTACAGTTTACTCACCCGATCGAAATTTGACACTCAAATATCGATTGTAGTCATTCCTAAAATTACTAAAATTTTGAATATTTAATTTCACCCTGCATTTCATATTCTCCCTGCTGGAAATCAAATTAATCATTCTTCAAAGTTATATTTCTTCATAGAAATTAGTAATAAAATCGGATCAAATTGAAAATTTACGTAACGTGAAATAAATTGTCATGGCTCAATGTTCAGTGGTATCAATTAAAGATTAAAGTAGATTAACACGCAACAAGTTAAAAATATTCACGTCCTGTCATTTTTGCTATTTAAACGTCTTAATATTAGCATATCACTTACATAAGTATACTAGTTACATAAGTTTTCTTATATTGAATTGTCTATCAACACCATATTTTGAAATATCAAGGAAATAAAATCTACAAGTCAACCAACGGAATGTTTAATTCATAAACGTAGATACTGTGTAAAGACTGTTTTGCATCAATCGTATAATAAGCAGTACTACAGTTTAAACAACAGCATTTCAATTCTCTAGACTTTTTTTTTTTTTCTTTTTTTGTCGAAAAAATATAACACCTTCCAAACACTATTATGCGCTAGCTCTTTGCTTCTCGTTGTTCAAAGAAAGACAAAATATAAAAATGTTCATTGAAAATATCTCATATAAAGCACACGAAGCTCTGTTTTTTTGTATCACGTCAATTCGCGTGGACATGCGCAGTCTGTCGATAACAAATCATTTTTTGCAGTTTGGTCGAAATTGAGTTCCGGCGATTGTCTTATAAATGTCAGCGATATTTTTTTCCCAACGGAACGATCGCATGTTTCGTGGATGTAAAAGCTTAGACATAAATATTCCGCTTGATATTCATGAATATCTTCATGGCCATTAGGCTGAGCCACGCATACAATTCGATACTTTATTACATAATAATCTAGTTGAATAATTTCTACGCTGTTGAAGATGAAAAAGAATTTGTTCTTTCAACTAAACGAAAAAAATGAATGAATTAATTTTATTTATTCATGTTGACGTTGTGTCAGTCAACGATGCAATGAACGTGCATTCCAATAAGGCTCTTCAGGTGACTGACCCAAGGTTAGTCCACATTGAAGGCAAGGCCAGCGATAATCGCGCGCAACTCGATACGTTTGACTCTTTGAGTTGTATCTATTGTTTTTTTTCTTTTTTTTTTTTTTTCGACGCGAATAAGTCACTGCAGCTGCAGAGTCAGGATTTTTCACAGATTTTCTAGTGGTTTCCCTCCATGGATTCGTGACTAAAAACACTTATACAAACTAAATTTAAACAGAAATGTATTTTATCTGTAATAAGAGGTACTTTGCTTTAAATATCTTGGTTACAAGTATGTTCACTTCTGGGTTTCTTTTTAATATTAATAATTATTATGGTATTGGTAGCAAAGTGTTTATAACATTTTTACATAACTTTGCACAAGTTTCTTATTGAAACCACTGGATACTTACGATATTTAGTTGCACTGATTTTTATAAAATATTTAAACATTCGTGGTACAGTGATTTAGTTTAAAATACTATTTCCTGTTATATGATAAATGATTCTATGCGATTGAGTCACTGTAGCATTAAAACGGCAAAAGGTAGAAATGAAATACTAGTTAATTCTAATACAATACAATAAATTGAAACAATGCAACATTAAGTGACAAGACGATGAAGAAAAAATAAAGATTTCATGTATACGATGCATGCATCCTTTTTGAAAGTAAAATTATTTTAAAAAGATTTGAAAACTTTTGAAAACTTTATAAAGATAAATGTATGTTTTAAAAAACTATACATGGTTCATTTTATATACAGTGTATAGCATGTTGTATAATACAACAGGAAGTAAATTTCCTTAATCTTCTCAATATTTATCATAATGTTGACTGAGTAATTGTTACTTCGAAGACATTAAAATTATCTAGAGTTGACACTATGCTAAGTAGCTTGGCATTGAAATGGAAAATTTTCTTCATGTAACCAAGATTTTGACGGCTTGATATCTTTTCTTTGTTTCTAATAGCTCGTATCTTTCACCTCGATACTTCGTTCTAATTTTTGATGAAATTCCACTTCATCGTATTGGAAAGTTTCGTATTTAAGGAATTAGATATTCTTTAAGAAGCGTTTTAGAGGAATTTCCAAACATCATGAGAATTTCCAATTCAGTAAACAGCATCTACTTCACTTAGACGACTGTTTTTATTCACTCAATGACTCTTGTCAATATACAACGAATGAAAAAAAAACACGTTACGAAACATTTTACATATAACGTTTGACGCAATAACGCTCCTAATATCGTTAACATCGACGTAAAAATTATACCTAACGCAAAACTTCTACCATTGAAAATATACCGAACCATCGAATCGTTCTGCTGATCGAACCGAATCGAATTTCGCAACAGCGAGTTTCAAATTCACAAGAACCTTCCTGATCACGACCTCTGCTCCAGCGATCTCGCATAATAGATCGTTCTATAGATCGTTCTAAATTACAACGTCAGACCGCAGGAGATTAATCTCGCGCGGTCTGACCAGGCCTGGTCTGCGCGAACGATCGGACGATCGCGCGCGAACGCTCGATTTAACGATAGGTTGATCCGGGGTTGGAATTCGCCAGACGAGTCGAACGAATCGAACAGGCACGACAAATTGAATTTCGAACGGTCGTTACGTAATCTGGTAGAGGCTGGTAGAATCATTGACGCAAGCTGCACCGGTACTTATGTAAGACCGGAGGAATCATTCTTTTTCGCGCGAGGCGTTCGAGGCAAACGGGGCAAACAACACGAAGCGTTCACGCGTCCGTCACTTTCCTTTGGCTGAAAATGTTCGTCTATTATGTGGCCAGATACGCCTTAACCACGGAGGAAGTTGCACAAGGTGACGTGAAATTTTGTTGCCACCCCTCCTCTCCCCCTTCGCCTCTTTCGTCTCTTTCGGTCACGACTCGCAACCGGCGGATCGTTTAGAGTCGAATCGCGTACTTTTCGTTTGTCCTCCATTTTCCTCCCTCGTCGAGAGAGAGATGTTGGTCGAGGATTGCAAACGCTGTTTGAAACTGTGTCGCACGCCATTATGCAACCGTGTTTTTCTTTTTCTTTTTTTCTGTGAAAACGTAAGAGGCCTCACCGAAGTAAAATAATATATCGCGGAGATAAATCGAGTATCGGTTTAACTCGTGGAAGCACGATAAAAAGTATCGCATTGTTATTTCAGTTGTTCAACGATAATCGTTCTAATTATCAGTTGTCACATTTCGAGTTAAAGTAAATACGTGTAATTTAACCGATGGGTGATCTTTTTTTTTACACGTGAACGGAATTCTCGATTATAAAGTATATGTACTGATTACAAAGTAAATAAAACTTACTATGTTTTAAAGATAACATTTTTGAGGATAAACTCTATTGTAAGCGTTCTGTTTTCTTCTTGTTTCTTTTTCTTTCAGTGTATTTCGATGAAAGTCTAGTTGCGAGTGGAGATTACACCGAAGGAAATAATTCGCCAATTTACCGGAGTAGTTGAACTTGAATTTGTACAGGAGGAAATTGTGTTTAACGGTATTACGAGTTGATCAAGTATCGTATTAAATATAGACTGCTGCTGCGCAGTTGATGTAGATATATTGTTTCTTTGAAGTTATTATAGATAATTGTAGAAGTCGTATTATATAATAGTCATTATAGAAATCAAAGTCTGCTGCCGTTTACTTCGAGAAAATCTTACGTTCCATTTGTATGACGAAACACGAAACGGAAAATTTACTATATCTCTTTGGTTGACTGTCGTTCGCGAGCCTGTTAATTTCACACTGACGATCAAAATTCGTTGCAGTTTCCAACTTCATTGAAAGCCATGATATAATACCTGCAAATATTTCCGTCATTTTATCATATCATATGATATGATATATAGTGAGATATTCGAAGGATATACCAGATATTTATTCTAATGATCTGAACGATTTTGCCTACGTATAATATCGTATAATATTCTGAAAAGGAACTTGCCGATAAAAATTTTTCTACGTTATGCAATGAAAAACATTTCTCAAATTTCCCGTACACCGTTAAATTCATTTTCATTGATTGAATGTTTCACAAATTGTAAGAAAATTATTACCTGTTAACAATTGAGAAATGAACTATTCTGATCATATTAACTTAGTATGATGGAATGAAAAATCTCTCTATAAATAAATATTGAATTAAAATTTAATTAAACTAAATCTATATGGAATCTAATTAATACCTTGTATACAATCGTGCGCGATGATTACAAAGCAGCATCCTCTCAACCGATTTGAATAGTCGCGCACAATCAACCCGCATCGGAGACAATATTTCCAATTACATCGCGTAATTTTTCCTTCTTCGCGCCAAGGCGAACGTATATTCCGCTTGCAAGGATTTATGGGCCACATTTGCATGGAACATCGGTTCGTGACAGACGTCTCTATCTGAGATACGACGCGATGCGCAACGTGTGAATCCTCGATGACAGTTTACGGAGGAGGCCGCTTTCACTGCTTTACCGCATTAGAATTACAAAAGGTGTCGTTTCATATTGTCTCCAGGTGCTGTACAATGTGTTGTCGTCCGGATATCGTCGTTACGGCCTGCCATCTCGCACCCCGTACAACTTGACTGAGGGTGCGTCGCGCACGAGGAGTCGTCACCAGCTGATGAACCCGAAAAGAAATCGTCGAGCAGCGTTGAACGCCTCTGACTGCGAAGATAATAGCAGCGGCGGCGAAGAGGATTTCACTCAGGTAGGAATTTTCTGACAACTTTGAAGGCAACGATGGATAATTTTATCCTCTTTTTCGTTTCATTATCCACTTCGAAATTGAAGAAAAGCAAAGTATTATCGCCTTCCTTTCTATTTCCATTTTTATTCTTTTCATATTGTGAGATTATCTTGCGTAAGAAATTGTATATTGTACATATGTATTTATGGATTATTTAATTAATATATTAGCCGTTGTTAAATATTTAGGAATTACAAAATATTCCAAGATTATTTTGCAATATATTGTTCTAGTTAAAAGATAAAAATTAACATAGAAAAATTAAGAAAATGCTAGATATTTTAACAATGAAAAAAATAGAATTAACTCTCTATTTTAATATAAGGATTAAAAAGACATTTTTCAAAGTTATGTAAAAGGTCATCTAATAGGAATTAAGAATAGGGACTTTTATTTTTTGATATGATGGAAAATTTTAAAAATTGAAACATTATAAGACTAAGAATATATACTTTATTAATATTTTAAGAATATTTTAATATAAACAAAGTTGAAAGTTAAATTTGTAAAATTCATTCATCATATTTCAGAGAATTTTATAGATTACTGGCAGTGCCAGTACTGATGAATTGTAAACCTTCTTAAAAAGAATTTTTGAAACTTTTTAGTGTCTTACAGGAATTCGCTACTCGAATTCTTAGAATTTTAATTTTTATCAGCCCAGATGCCTGATACGCATACATAGAGAAATGTTGGTATAGTGTCAGTATCACTATCGATATATTCTCGTTATTATCAGACCTAAGAAGCTGACTGCATTACTAGCAAATCGCTGAGTCTAATGAAATGATGCTTGCAGCAAGCATAGTTTCTCTAATTAAATTTTTTTATTATAAAGTTATTAATAATTTCTTTTAATAATTCACTTATGTTTTACTTCATGAAACATAAATTTTAATTAAATAAATTTTTAAAATGTTTATGGCAAGCAATTGAAATATTAATATTAATCTATGTAAATTTTTGTTACTATTAGTATAACTAGATACAGCATTAAATTTGATTCCATTAAAATAATGAAAATATTTATGATATAATTTACAAACAATAGGAATACTAAAAACAGTAGGATTCAAGTTTCATAAATTTGAATAGTTGAAAATTTCATAATTTTAAGTCGAAATTACAAAGCAGAAAAAATAAAGTAATGATCTCAAATCTTTTATAAAACGATGTAGGATTGAATCGACTGCAGCTGTTTAATACAATGTTTATTCTTCGTTCAAAAGGATTTTTCATTTACGTAACAGAGTTTAGACGTTGCATTCTTTTAATACAGAGTAACTACTTATAGTGGTTCTTGATAACTGAATAGCCGTTTTAAAAGTGACATCATCGTTCAGGTACAGTTTCACGTTGGCTTCGAAGCTGCGATTGAATTATCAGATAACTTCATTCTTTTTTTATTGCATTCGACGAAATATTTTTGTTGCAATTGTTATTTTCTGGTAGACTTTAATAAACAGCGAATCACGTAAGAATTAAAACGAGAATCATTTAGATACGTACAATTTCTTAATAATTTTTCTCTTGTTTAATCTTTGCAATGTAAAATTTTCATTCTTTCGAATTTGACATAGTTTATATGAAAGTGATTTCAAATTTTTGACGAGCAATTGATCGAAAGCAATTTAATATTTTGCATTTGCTTTAATACTTACGAATAATTAAATATTTGCTCAATTACTTTTAATTTTTAAATCTTTAAATCAAAGTGATTTCAAACTGTCGACGAGCGATTAATTGCTTATTAGTTTCACTAAATTTAATATCAAATAATGGACAAATAGAACACTGGATCACAGTTCCATTTCAGTAACTACAATTTTCTTCGTTTAATTTCACGTTTCTTTTCCTCATCACGTTGCTTTCTTTTCACCAAATGATACGTACTTACTGAAAAAACAACAATAAACATCTCAGTCTTCGATTACCGTTCGAGTATCTTGATTAATCCTTCTGTTCACTCGGAACAGATCACTATGTCTGTTCGCGTTCGATTCTATTGTAATGATACGTATAGATACATATGTACTCAATTCTTGATGTTCAGAAACATGTAATTTTAACGATCAATTTGCAATTAGATCGACAAGAAATATGGATACCGTAATGATAGTAAACGGCTAATCAGGAATTTATATAGAACTGATCTTTTCAATTACTATTGATCTTACAGCTAGGATAAGTCCTGTTGTAATCAATAATCATTCAGTTACAAATTCTCAAGTTTTCTTGTCTTCTATAGTTTCTTTAGTATTATTTTACTTTGTTGTATATCTGTTGTATTTTTGCTTATTATTAATTAATGATTAATGTATTCTGCTAATCAATAATTAAATTAACAATATGAAATAGACTAGTGCTAGTTGATTAATTAGAGAAATATATATGTAAGATGAAATGTTGATTAATTTAGATTTGAAAGAGAAGAAAAGTTCAATTAGAGTAAAGTAGAATATTTATTGCAATATTTTAATTTCTGTCTTAGTTCCTAAAAGTGGAAATGTGTATAAACATCCGTAGCGTAAATATAATGATTGAATTATATGAAATGAAATTTTTAATACGGCAAGTATAGATTGTTAAAAAAATTTTGTTACAGTGACTTTTATATATTTGATGCACGGATAATAAAAAACTGATAACAGAAAAGAAATGAGAAAGAAATTTTTTTATTTTTTTCTTCAGTGTACGTATATTCATAAATATATTTAATAATAATAACAGTCCACGTAAATTACGAGAATTAGGATAGATGTAAAATTATAAAATTCATTAAATAACTCTGAAAAAAAAGAAAACTGTTATACATAAAATCACAATCTTTTTCCGCTTGTCTTTCACAATGATGGAATACTGAGATTTGCGACTTAAAAAAAAAAAAACTCGATTAGTAACATTGTTTTTCGAGTTGAACACGAACGACAATGTAATTGCAACGGTAGGAAGAAAAACAGGCGAAACGAAATATCGAGAAATTAGATTTCGAACAGATTCTTGGGTTGCGTAACGATCCATTAAACGTTACGCAAGACCCCGACGTCTCGTTGCGAATAAAGATGAATTGTATTTCAAAGAAAAGGAGCTCTAATCGTGTCAATCCTAATAATTTGAGATTAAAGTTCGCGCTTAATCCAATTATGCTTGTTGGTTCATTGCAGACTGTTAGCAGAAGACTCCTGTCAACCACAGCACCACAAAACAACATGAAGCTGCAGGCTGGCCTAGATCGTCTCTACCAAGACATCGAGAAGCTGAAAAGTAAGCTGTCGAGGATCGTAGTGTTAAATTGTGTTCAATGTATATTGGAGAACAATATGTTGAGAGACATATTATTAGACTTTGCGTATATTTATACAAATTCAAGATACAGATTTTTCTTTCTTTTCTTTTTTCTTCTTGTTTTAATATCTGGTTATTAACGATTATTAGCTGTCAACTATATTTATGCTTTTATTTTACATTTAATAAATTAGCTTCTATAAATATTTTAGAATGATTAAAATAAGATTGATAATACGATTAATAATATTGTGAAGTGATTAAGATATAATCGATAAAACAGCAAATGTGCTTTTATTGCAACATAATATTTTATGAATACATCATAAAAATCGAATATTTTGTCCCGCAAAGGCATAATTTATTTAAATTTTAAAGATTCTGTGTTATTCAGTTATATTTCGTAACGACACTTATATTTACAATTTATATTTATAATTTATATTATTAGAATATTCACAGTAATTCAATTCAACTCATATTAATATTAACGAAAATGAAGGAAAGCAGTGAAAGAAAATATTTTCATTTAAATTATTTAAATTTATGTACATAGTATTGAAAAACATTAGAATACTAATGATATGTAAGTTCAAACGTGGTTTTAACGTTGTAATTTCATGTTGAACGGGTTTTTAATCGCCGAACGCGATTATGCTTTCTTATAAAAGACGAATTGCAGCCTGAGAAGGTTAACCGATTACGTTTTATCTGACATTTCATATTAATAACCGGCGTTGCATATTTGCCACGATGCTCGCGGCTGAATGCTTATCATTGATAAACGAATCCTCGAGCTCTTTTAAAGTACAGTTCATTCAACGTTCGAGCAACGCGAAAGAAAATCTCTTTTATTTATTTCTATGAATTTGTTAATTCCCTGTGCATCGTTCTCACGTTCTTAATTATCCGGATGTATTAAACTTTTTAATCTGGTTTTTATCATTTATATGTTTTAAGATTCGAAAGGGCACAATCTATTTGTCTTGTTAATTTTAAAATCTTTAGTGAACTCCTTTTAAAGAGTTAAATTTTTATCAAATGAAATGATGCGCTATTATGAATATTAAATTTCTGTCTTATAATTTAACAAAGCTTTGCTAAATATTACGAGAACTCAAAGCAATTCCAATATATTGTATAAATTGGATATCAAAATAATTCTTTCAAAGTTGCGGACAATAATTATTGAAATCGTAATTGCGATTGCAACAAATTTCTTAAACTTCTAAACATCTTAGGAAATAATTAAAAATTAGAGATCATGAGAATAATCAATGAAATATTAATTCCAATTAAAATGCGAATTTCTTTCATCAATCAGTAGTAATCAAGGAATATAAACCTCACATTACATGCAATTTATTAATGTCTTTTTTAAAATACAATAACACAATATATCCCAATTTTGAAAAATTACAATGATATTCTTTTAGACACTTAGAACTTAGGTATATTTTAGGTACACGGTAACTGAATAAAGTTATTTTTCACAGGACTGGAAGCGAGACCCGGTGAAATTCTCCTTCCACCCCTTTCCGGTGGCACAGCAGGCGAGTTAGATTGTATTCTGTGCTGTCGACTCTTATGGAAACCCGTAACAACACCATGTGGGCACACGTATTGCTGGATGTGTTTAGATCGCTGTTTGGATTACTCTTCTGCCTGCCCTTTGTGTGTCACATCTCTTGCCGATGTAAGAATTACACTCAATCATTTTAATCAATAATTTGTGAAATCAGGCAACGTTATAATTTTAGTCCTTATATATCTTCTTTATATATGAAGTTCTTTAGAACTGGTAAATCAATACCAGCACATATTGGCACATGTTCATTTTATTCTGATGCGGTGCTGTGTAACAAGTACAAAAGAGTCGTGCGACAAGTTGACTCGAGATTACGTTCCGTGGGACAAGAGAACCTCAGAACGTGAAACACCTGTCCATAAATGAGATATAATGCTTCCTAGCGGTTAACGATGCTGCAGATTGAAATGATTATTGTTTGCGGTCACCATGGCCGCCGTTAGGAGCTTCCGCGTTCGTGGCGTCATTACCAATTGTCCCTGCGAGCATCGTCGTTAATGACGTTAAATAAATTTTGCGGCTCGCAATCCTGTATCTTTCCCGGACCCCCTCTACCTCTTCGTATTACGTTACATTATTACACAACGCTTCGAGACCGTTATTCTCGCGTTGTTCCTGCTTCTTTCCTTTACACTCTTCCTTCATTCTTCACGCGTCGCTAAACGTTCGTCAATTTCACTTCTTTTTTCGTGCAACTGATTGATACCGATCCACGAGAAATATCTTCCGCGGAAGTTGTCAGAATTATATTCATGATTCAAGAAATTCTTTAAAGAAGCAGATACAACGTATGGAATTAAATAAACTTTTTTAAAACTTGTAATTTAGAGTGGCAAATTATTACATTTTTTATATAATTTGGAATTGTCATAGATTGATGATAATTTCATTATCTATTTGCATGTCAATTTTTATTTGTAGAATGTTGTCACATATAAATGGGGCCTAGATAGAAAATTATTTTGTTCATTAAATATTATAATGAGTACTGTACAAAGGATATTTCATTTATTCTTTATTATATGCATTTTTGCATCTTCAAATTCTCCATAAATGAGTGAATAGATCTGTAGTCTAATCTTCCGATGTGAATAAATTATCAATAAAAAAAATTCAATCTGTAACTTCGTTTTGACAATATAATTTTTCACCCGACAACGTCTGCATTAACGCATAATACATATCGCAACAATCGTAGCAAGTATAATTTCGTTCATTCTCATACTCTTTCACGTATCTACGTGAAAATGGCAATTGAACATCTCTAACCCTGACAACGTCAACATTCGACTGCATTCCAAACCACGCAAACCGAACACAACCCTCTGAGACAGCGTTATTTGTTATTAATGTGAGTGCTCGAGGCCAGATAATCTCGAAAGTTGTTGCGAAAGAAAGAGAGAGAGAGAGAGAGAGAGAGAGAGAGAGAGAGAGAGGAAGGCGCGGAGAAATCCTCATGAAAAAGTCACGAATCTCGGCATCGAGATGTTGAAGGCATCACTCGAGAAGGACGACCGCGAGGCTTCTGGTCGACTTAGCAGAGTGTCCTTTGCTTTTTCAGTACTTGGCCAGCAGCCAGAAGACAGTGACGGACTTCGTGGAGAGGGCTTTGAAGACGGTGGCACCGGCGGAATATGCCTCCAGGGCAGCCAGCCACCGATTAGAACTGGTCCAGGGACTTGGCCTCCTGGGCAGCGAGCAGATAGCGGTTTTTGTTTGCACCACGGCGTTTCCATGCGTTGCTTGTCCCCTGTTCGTTTACGAGCCAAGATACAGGCTGATGGTTAGGAGATGCGTGGAAAGCGGCGTCCGTCAATTCGGGATCGCCGCCTGTCTCAACAGAGAAGCCACGGGGACTAAAAGGTAATCATTCTTCTGATTTTTGTAACAACACGATAAAATATCCTTCTTTCAGCACACGCTAATATTTTTAGAAGATGTATTTTTTGTAGTAATATGGAATGTGCATTTTGGTTTTTATCTTAAAAAGTTTTTTATGGTATACAATGATATATATTTAGTAGCATAAAATATATATTTAGCTCAAATGGTTTCAAAATTTTCTGCTTATAATATATAGTAATATACATACGCAGAAGAAATAGTCATGGTATAGAATATTAATTCCTTTTTAGCTTAGACATTTCCAAAATTATTTAAAGAAGAAAAAGAAATTTATAAGAGTGCCTAGAGAAAATGACAAGAATTTCATGTGTCATGAATGTAATTTCAAAAATTTTACATATATATAAATTATGTGTATGAAATGTATAAAAATTATAATTTATATGAATATACTCATAAATATAGAAAATCGTGGTTTGTATTACTATTCCACGTTAGCATCTTTGTGATAATTATATTTATATTAGTGTTATGATATGTTAATAGCAACGTGATGAATTATTTATTATTGTTATTGCATGGTAAAATGTACTTAAGTTTTTCTTTTAGTGTATAGAATAATACATGTCAATTCGTATGAATACTAAAGAATATATGAATGTTAAAGAATTAATAATGAAGCTAACAGGAAAAAGATCAACTCAATATAATGAGATATTATCGAGATAGGTTGATAAAAAATGCAAAAACGTGTAGATACTCAATAATTTTATACAAACAATTAAATTTATTATATTATTATTATATATTATTGTATATTATATATATATTATTATATATTATTATTATTATATATTATGAATAATATTAAGAGGATAAGAAGTATCATATTATACTATATTATTATACTATACCGTTAGAAATCTCTTTATCATACCATTCTAATTTGGCTTCTTGTGTGAAGCCTGAGTACTGAATTTATTGATTTAATTTCGATTTTTTAATTGCCGTAAATGTGTAATTCATGAACAAGGACGAATAAGGGTATTTTGTTTGCTAGATTACATTTGTTAATCATTTATTTATGTAAATAAAATACAGTTTGCAATATTTCAAAGTACAAATTGTAGTTAAAAGAATATTTAAAATTCTAATAAACTCTGTGTATTTTTTTTTAAGAAAAAATTTTCTAATGATAGATCATCACCTGAGAGTGATGACTGTGTTAAAAAGTATAATAAGCGACATGATATTATTCTATGACACTTCGAAAAGATACTTCCTCATATTGAAACAAGAAAAGACTTCTTTTTCGATGATTATAGTGTTGGAATAGCGTAGTCGATCGAACTTTGGACTATAGCCCATAATTTATAGTTGGAAATACTTTTTAAGTATTAATAAATACTGTTTATAGTTGGAAATACTTTTTAAGTATTAATAAATACTGTTTATAGTTGAAAATACTTGTTGTAAAATTCGTTTAAAATTTTAAAATTCCTTTAAAATATTGAAATGTTAATTTTAATTGCGACTCGTAGAGGAACTATTTTATTCTTAAAATTGAATTATATCATTAAACGATAAAAATTCAAATTGTTTAACAGATACGCGGAATACGGCACCATGCTCGAGATTCGGGACAGAGTTCTGCTGAAAGATGGTTGCAGCATTCTGAGCACAGTCGGTGGCAGAAGATTCAGAGTTCTCTCTGGAGGAGAAAAAGATGGTTATGATACGGCTCAAGTAGAATTCCTGAGGGACACGATAGTTCAGGACGATCAATTGTTGAATCTCCTGGAGCTTCACGACAAGGTGAAACATCAATCATAATTAATAACTTACTACTCGAAGATTTACACGTTAAAGTACTAACTCTATACAATTTCCAATCAAATTTTCCATTTCGAGACAAACTAAAAATTACTTTTATGTCATTTCGTCACGTTCGAAATTATTAATTTACATTCTTCGTCCAATGTATAAATTTTATCTTCAGATTTTTACGATTTCGCAAGCAGTAAAGACAAGCTGTCAAATTGAAATTTCCAGGTGCGAACGAAAGGGAGAAGATGGTGGGAGACGGTGCCGCTGTCCCAACAATTAGAAATACAACGAGTATTCGGTCGAATGCCAGACACCGAGGAGGACTGGTCTCGTTTGCCAGACGGTCCCTCGTGGACCTGGTGGTTGTTGGCGATTTTACCGCTTGGCCCCCAGCTGCAAGTGGGTATTCTCGGTACGACGAGTCTGGAGAAGAGATTAAGAGCCATCGAGAAGACTCTCGATCACATGGAGCAAAGGCAACTGACCGTCGCCCCCGCTCCCTCGGAAGAAACAACCACTTCCTCCAGCATATGTCGAGACGAGGGTGGTCTCACAGACACGACAATGTCAGTGGTACAACAATCTTAAAGGAACAAGGAAAGAAAGATGTCCATTCGGGGCAATTCGTTCGGACGATTTCGCCGTGAGATGGCGGTTCAATGGAATTCGACATTCACTCGATGTACAAAGTACTTGGAGAGTAGCTTATTAGCTCGAAGATTATTACTTTTTACTCGGTATTTAATATACACGCATTATATCCGGAAGTGAGGCGAGGAGAACCTGTGGAGCTCGGTCGATCGACAGCCAGGGGTTTTCCATATGCATCGACTACCCCCCTCCCCCCCCCCAACTTTTCTTCTTATACTTAACCCCGTTAGTTGCGTTTTAACTCGAGTACTGTCTCTCTTTTTCCCTGTACCCGGGTACTCGTTAAACTGACACAGTCAAGCGCCTTATCGACGGAACGATGATGGTGCAATTTGGAGAAGCGAGACTAGAAGATCGAACAAAAAGGTAACATCGGTTGTCATACAAACAGTTATTTCCTTTCATTATTCAGAGACAACTCTGTTAGGATAAACGTTAATTCTTTGCGATCTGTAATAACTTCTGAAGTATAGGCCAGCAGATTTTTGTCACAATGAATGTATGTATATATTTATGAAAGTGTAAAAGAACGTAAAATTTCTTAAAAAAGTGAAATTAGTAAAAAGAGATCCTTGAAATCATTCACAACAATCTGTTATGACCTTCTTCATCATGGAGATTGTGCAAAAATAATTTTTCACAATTATACTTAATATTTTAGTTATAGAAAAATAAAACAAAAATTTATCGTAGAAGATTTGTACAAGATATAGGATCGCAAAGAAATGTAAAGAATGAAGAAATGAAGAAATTAATCTCGTCAACTCGGGAGTTATAGCTCGTTGAAAATTGTATTGATCGTTGAGAGTCGCGTATGTGATTACTGCAAGCAATATTACAAGCAACCCGCTATTTTACAATCTCGCTACGTTTGCACTTCCTGACAAGAGATTGATGACGGAGTCGCTAGACCAGTGCTGCCAACGAATGAAACTTCTCCGATTTTTCCTCTGCGTATAAAAATCAATTATATTTAATAATCAGTTATCGTTCCTATATTACATGTAACTACCGGAGAGGCAATACTGAAAGCTGTTATCTCAAAGCTCACAATTCATTTTCTTTGGCGGCACTGACTTTTCACTAGTCTCTTTGAAATAGCATAAGTAACACACGATAATTGATACTTTCCGGGCTGTACGAAAACTTGAGACAAAATCAAATATTATAAAACAGTATAATTTAATTCCAACTGGCGACAATAGTTAATTATTTTCTAAACTTATTTAACTTTTAAAGAATCTACTTCTTTGGTCAATGATATCTTGATCTTTAAGTACTATAGACATTGAAACTTACACAAGTACTAGACAGTTCAAAGAAAATCTCACAAATCGCTGATATTTCATTAAATGAAAATTAGATTCAATTGTTTTTGTTTTATATATATATATATATATATATATATATATATATATATTCCAAGTATGATTGGACAATGTAGACATATTTTAAAAATGTAAAAGAAACACGAATGAGAATTAATATCAATTTTAGTACTAAAATGTTCAATCAATTAGTACTTAGAGATACCACCGATCTCATAAATTGCACGGAATGTGTCAAATAATACAATAAAAAATTACCGTTGACTGATTACTCAATCAGTATTGAGTAATAAATGAGTTTCGAACGAGCTATAATACGTCTCCATGTTCTTCGATATTCTTAGAAAATTAATTATAGCACTGATAACCGATCGATCCTCAAATAGACATTTTATATGCATAACTCGTGTTATTGTCGATAATATTCGAACATTTTGTCACAATCATCGATGAATCGACCAAAATAGACGATAGAATGACATATCCGAAACGGAAGGATAGAGGAAGGATATCGTTTACCTCGGTAAGGCGTGACGGTGTTCTCCGCGCTGTTGCAATACGCAAATCTGTTCTTCCAGATAATAATTATATATACATACATCTATATGTATACACACACATTTATGTATACACGTACATGATGCATATTATACGTTTGCAATCAGAGGTACGCACGTCGTCGTCGTTTACGCTTATGTCTTTCGTACCCGACGAGAACTTTTTACCTTCCAGACGAATCACGCAAATATATATATATATATATTCATAACGATGGTACAATGATGAGAAAGAAGAAACGAGGACGTACGTATTTCGTCGTGGGTGCGCTGAGTACAAAACGTTTGTCGCGCGATCAGAGAAACGTGTTTTAGCTCTGTTGTGCGTGATACCAGTTTTAGCTCATTCGAACTTGGCCGTTCTTGAACTTCTGGGACGCGGAGAAAATTGTTCGATATTCACGAAATGTGATCATATTTTCTACGATTTTCTATGAGACGGTCTTTCGTAACATCTAGATCGGAAGCAAAGCGAACTGTACACTTCAATTTTTGAAATATGTCTTTTTGAAGAGAATATCGGGAATGTGTTGTTTGAAGTATGAAATTCCTAAATAAATTTAAAATAATTTTAAATGTATAGTCTTTATAATACGTTGACTGCCACGCGAAACTTACGCTTTAGTTATTTATTTTTTTTTTTTTTATCAAATACTCAATTGTATCAAATAATTATTTATTTTGTTATTAATGTAATTCAAATTTCTTTTTTTGTCAATAATATTAATCCCGTTGCTCTGAAATATTTGTAAGAGTAGGGACAGTCAATGTATTATAGAGTAAAATTATATGAACGAATGATTCTCCGATTATTATGAATTGTAATATTCTGTTTGCACTTGTCTTAACGTTTTAAGGGTCCAATAATACTTAGCATCTTCTTGGAACGTTTTTACGCGTCCCATAGCGAGAAACGGCGAGATAGATTGATAAATATAGCGATTGAGTTAGATCTAGGAGACGTTCAATTCGGAGAAACGAGAAACTTTAGATGGAACGTTCTATTTTCACTCAGCTTCTCGTAATGAGCCATACTTGTTGAAAAGGAATTTACAACAACGACCAGTTTACGTGGCAAAACGATCTTGATGTGGCACGAAACTCAATTTTTTATACTGTCCGGCCTGTATTCAGAACGCTCTAGTAGAACAAACTATACTCCTTTTCTTTCCATATAAAAAACAAAAAAAAAAAAAAAAAAAAAAAAAAAAAAAAAAAATCTACTATAATATTAATACGAAAATTTTTTCAACCATTTTTCTTCGAATATCTCGATGTTTTTAATCTAACGGTTTACATTTATAAAGATCTTCTTGAAAACGTTAGAAATTCTAACGAAAAAGAAGAGAAAAAGAGAGAAAAAAAAGATCTATATATGTATATATAAGCAATCGTTGAGAATTGATAATTAATTCTTAATCAAAATTAGAAGTCTAACCGTCGATAATCATAATCGTTCTCATTCGAATAAGCTGTAATTTGCGTCCAAACTATCCGAACTATCCGTGTGGTTTTGCGCGATAATCGAGGAGTGCCACGCTATTAAACGTGGTTTTCCCAAACGATGTTGGCAAACGCTCGCGAGACAAAGGCGTATTGTTTAGTGATAATACAGTGTTATGAATACGAGCCTTTAAGTTTATTCCGTCGCTTATAAGACTTCTCGACTGCGGTAGCGTTATAGTAATTTATTTTCATGCGATTTTTTTAAACGTCATTCGAGAGTGACACATACATACATACATACATACATGCATAGCGATCGTCAGAGGAGCTAGGGAACGTCATATCAGTGCAATCAAGCGTACAGAGAAAACGAGAAGAAAGAAAGGAAGAAAGGAAGAAAAGAGGCGTAACGCGTCTGTTGTCCATGATGATTGATCATTATTATTGTTATCGTGAATCACTATTATTATTATTATTATTATTATTACTATTATCATTACTATTATGATTATTCTAATTATTATAACAAATTAAGGAGAATACTATTACTATAAAGTGAGTACACACACACACACCACTATTAGCTTTTAGTATCTTCGATATTCTATTATACTATCGGAATGCGAATAACGACAATTGAATAATTGGCATTATTCGAACACCGCATACACCTAACGTACTATATTTCCAATTTCTCTCACTCGAGAGTGTTGTGTGTGTGCGTGTGCGTTTGTGTTTGCGTGCGTGTATGCGCGTGTGTACGAAGGATGAAGAGGAGGAGGACAAGTTTTTTCATCGCACGTTTTCTAATCAATATTATAATAATAATAATAATGTAAACATTTCGTCTCCAAGAAAAAAAAAAAAAAGAAAAAGTCGAACGGGGAGCAGAGATGGTGTGTCCCTGGTATCTTGAAATTTATATTCTCTTCTCTAGACTTTTACGAAGTTGTGAATCATGCATTGTGATATTACCGTATAGCCTACCTATTGTATATTGTTATAACATAATATTACAAAAAAATAGTATGTAATGTCACGCAACTTTCCATTTTTACTTCGACATTTCTATATTTATCTTCATCTCTTCATATGGAATTATTGTAATAAAATATCGATGAAATCAAAGTGTTTCCAGGATGCATCGTTTTACCCCGACCTGTTTGCAACAGAGTTCACTGCAACGAAATTGATTGAGCGGTAAAATTGATCATTTAAAGATTACACGTTCTTATATTGTGATAAAAAAAGAAGCTAACCCACTTGTTCGACGAGTACAACGAACCCAAGGGATCATACAACCTTAAGCTACTTAAAGTATAATATAATATATACTTCACCACAAGTATAAAGCTCCTTTTTTAAGAAAAAGGTACTGTGGTTTCTTAAAATTCATAAAACGAAGAGAATTGATTAACCTTTAGTATAATTTAATTAATCAAATTTAGTTACACGAGATACAATAGCTTTACAAGCCATCAGTAATCTGAAATCGATATAATATCAAATCAAAATTTTCAAACCTAAACTCTATGTTAATTCATGATAAATTACCATTAATTAACAATTTCCAGAAATAACGTAAAAAACAAAAAATACTCATCTTCTTTGTGAAATCTTATAATATAAATGTCATATGAAAATGAAACCACATAAAGTTATAAAACAGAATATCATACTGGATAAATATAAAATAAGATAAAACATAATAAGTAGATGATTACTCGAATATTTTCAGGTTATCGCTTCATCAAAGAAATTTTCAGTAATAAATAAATTCATTTTTCCTTCTATGATCAGAAATGCTTAATTGGTTAACTTTGTTTTATTGTTATTTCTAACTGCAACTTTACACATAATGAAGCGTCAATTACGAGGCAGCTTCAGGTCGAACGCGGAGGTTTTGTCGGATGTGGACACGTCGAGTATGAGCGGTAAGCTCGAATACCTGGAAAAGTATTCGGTAGCACCTTCGCCAAGCAGAGATTATTACGGATTGAGAGTGGTCAACGACCAGGTGCTGACGAATAAGTCGCGTTCCCGCGATTCTGCCTCGTAACTTCGCACATTTTTCAGGTGACACTCTATCATTGGCGAATCTCGCACGGTCCTCACAAAACACCCATCGTACGAACCTCCAGTTTCGTTGATTTCAAGCAAGATCATCCGCTGCAAGAGGAAATTCGACGTATTTTTGGTACACAGTCGAGCAATCCTAATTGATGACAATGAATAACCTTCCTCGGAAAATTTTTCTCTCGATACTAATTTAATATATGTGCACATTCTATGTGAATACATTTCTTAGATATTCAATAGCTGTCAAATGAGTAATTTATTTGGTAATATTTCACTTTTTGCAAATATCATGTTAGCTTCTTTAATTTCATAATTTCGTAATTTATTGAATATATTTATTTATTATATATGTATATATGAAATTTGATTATTTAATTATTTGTATGACTTATTTGACGTGAAGGAAAATGTTTTCTTTCTCGATCTTTAAGATTTACATATATAGAAGTATTTCTATTTGAAAATTATTTAAATTTGTTAAAATCATTCTGTTAAAGAATTATTAAAATTGTTTTTGCAGTAAAAAATTTCCTTATAGCAACATTATAAAATTTAATCATAATTATGAAAATCTTGAACTTTGACTATCTTAAATCAAAATTTTTCTAACTATTTTCTAGCTCTTGCTAAAATAATAATTTCACTATAGAAATTAGTATTCAATTTTCCCTATTCTTTCAGACTTATAAATCATTACAAATTTTTTTTTAGGTGAATATTTGCTGAAACACATAAGAAACATCACTTCCGGGAAAAATACGTTACTAACATTACCAAGGTGTCTAATTAACAAATTAATCAAATATCTCACTGTGCAGGACGTTATCATATTAAGATCTCTATCACGTGTCTCTAAAGAAGTAATTATTTAATCTGTAATAAATAAACTAGTATCCACTCTTATCCTTTCTAACTTTTCCTTTTTTTAAATTTTTAGATTTTCGATGACAATCACGTGTGGGAAACGCTGTACAAAAAATATAGTCCAATAACGAGGAATAAGTACGACGAATTGCGTATCACGTGCAATTGGAAACAATTATTCCAATTGGCAAAAATTCAGGAATTAACTTACGATCAAAAAGTAACCTTTTCACTGTCGCTAATATTGACATTAGAATTATCGACGATTAAAGTATAAAAATTGTGTCGGAGAAATTAGAGTACAAAGAATAGAAAGAAAGAATACTATGAAAGAGCAGAAAATTTCATTCGTATATTTCAAAAAGAACATTCACATTTATAAAAAAAATGCAATATTGTAAATCTGCATAATCACTTAAAAAAAATTTGTCATTTTGACCATCTTGATAATTTTAGTTAAAACGATTTATCTTTGATTTATCACTGACACAATCGCTCTTTTTTTCTTTAGATGTTTCGAGCTCGTGGAAATGCAAAACAGAAGTCAATGAATCCGAAAACCGACAGTTTAACAAGAGGAAATCTAAAGCCAGAGAACTTGGCGAAAGCGACCTCAAAGATCGAGAATTCCATGAAACTCTCCGGCTCGAGTTCTAAAATAGCATCAAAAATCGTCCCGCCAGAAAATCAGTTTACAAAAAAACCGGCAGAAATCCCTCGTAAAAAGAACACGCAGAATGCTATTTCGGGAAAATTGTCCGATAATCGTCTGAACGAAACGACGATCGACAGGGAGAAGATCGTTTCAGAGAAGAAAACTTCCGCCATTAAATCGTTGCAAATAGCCGGGCAGAAAAATATAAAAGCAATGAAAGACCATACGGTCGCAATTAAAACCGATACCAGAGACCCGATTGCTAACAAAGTTACCGAAACAAAGTCAAACAAACCTCAGAATAAAATGAAAAGGATTGACGTTAAGGCCAGTAACGTAAGCCTAAGAACTGCAGAAGATAAATCGAGTAACGTCAAGTCTAAGAACTCAGCAACTCCAAAGGTAAACAAAACTGAGAAAGCAACGCGTTCGATTCAGAGTGATCAGGCGAAACCGAAACCAAAAGGCAAGACGAAGAAAATCGGTCACAGTAAGTCGACGATCTTGAACACGAGCACCGATCTTCTGAACGATCATTCGCCAATTAAGGACGACAGCTTCGATCTGGCGGATTTAATCCAGGCTAGCTTGAAAAACATTCGTAGCCCGAGAAGTATATTCGACTATAGCTTCAGCTGCATCGAGAAAACGAAGTCTTGCGCCGGTGACACGACCATGTTGCAAGAGATCAGTCGCAAGATGGCCGATCATCCGAGAGCTTTGAAGAGCGGCCACGCGAAGGCGACTCTTGACCGATTGTCCGAAAAATCGGAGCCTCTCACCGCGAAATCGATAGATTCCGGCAACAAGAGCGAACTGTCCCACGGATCTCTCACGCCCAAGTATTTGAAGTTGTTGAACAGTGAATTGAAGAAATCGACAGAGTTGAACAAGAATCGTAACGTCGCGATACCAGAGGAGAAAATAGATCACAGTGAAAGATACGGAGCCTATAATAAATATCCATCACCAAGGATACTGGACAAGGAACTGAAGAAATCAACTCCTCAAAAGGAGATTGATAAGATGAGTATGTTGCGTGCACTAGGAACGAGGAATTTACATGGTAAAAATGTTGTATCTAATTCAATGGATGAGATAAATCGGTATGAATTGAAGAAGACTGTCAATAACGTGTATAAGTATTGACATGTGCTCGTTCCATTTATGTTACTGTGGAGAGTATTTTTTTTTTAAATTGTAAAGACTGCACTTGTATATGTTTGACGAAATAAATATTAACGATCGCCGTGCATGTGGAAGAAACATTATACACGCGATACGGTAATGTTGAGTATTTTAAAATGAAGAAAATTTTTAAAGTTTCTGTTATTCTCGGCGATACTCAGCCCTAGATCTGTTACTATGAACGTAAGTATATATTTGACTTAACTTTTTTATTTTCAAGATTATTAATATAATCAAAGTGAATTAATTAATCCCGATAATACAAATGATACAAATTTTATTTAAAATTGTCACAAATTTCATTCGCATTAATTTAAAATTATGTAATGTAATAGTATTTCTTTGTATTTCAGTAATTTATGTTGAACCTTTTGAATTATTTAAATTTTTAAGTATAGATTCCGATGGTTTAAAGGAAAGGTGATGAAAAAAGTGTTTCAGTGTTGGAGAAATTTATTAATTATTATCTTTTCGCACATTAACAGTTTCGCTGGAAATGCGGACAGATATACAAAATAATCATCGAGCGATGCTTGTATTTAATGATATGTCTTTTAAATACAAACACATTTGCATGAGATATCATTGAACGGAATCTTAGCAGCTTGTCCTATCTATAAAGGTCTACAAAAGAAATTACAAGATAGTATCAATAAAGTAATTACCAATTTATGATTAATTTCAACGCGAGAAGCTTGTTTGATTGATAGCATTATTACACTAGAATAGAATCAGTGAACTTTAGTTCAGAAATCTGCTATAAATTTTTACCAAACATCCTAGAAGTGTCGTCTATGGGTAATGCGTGAACTATGATCCGAATCTTCTTGCACGATAATTTAACTAACAATATTGGTGAATTCACAAGTGACGAGTTGTAGATTAGAAACTTCTGCGTGGGCAAATTTTTGATCGAAAAAGAAAGATGGCTTGTGAAATTTCATTTAACAATGATGTACGAGAGAATTTATTATATAATACTCTGGCAAATCGTAACTAATGAGTTGTAGATGTTTTGCAATCGTATAAGTTCGACAATAATATTATACAATTTTTCCAACAACTAATAATATTGAAAGTTGACAAATTACAAGTTAAAGATTATAAATTGTTGTCAGTTTTCTCTAATCGCATTAATTCAACTATTCAATGCTAGTAAATTGATAAATTACAAGCTACGTAAATTCATGTTATCACGAAATGTCGTCAACATTTTCCTAATTATATTAATTCAATATGTTACACAACACTGTAAATTAAATATTAGATTGTAAATTTATTTTTACGAGTTTATAATGTTTCAATGAGGCAGGATAATTTGTTAATAATTTCGGTTAGGAATAGTATTGCTTCAGTTGTGCAAGAAAGCTCGGATATTTCGTAACACATAGAAATGCTTAACTTAACTAAAACAAGCGAAATATTTGTATGAAAAGAGTTTTGCTTTTAAATAGGCTTCCATTGTCATCGTGTCACTCGAACAGGAAAAATAGCGTTTAAAAATTCATCTTTCGAACGTCGTCGCACGCTTAAGCAATCGATTTGAAAGCTCAGAAAATTTATCCCTCACTCGTATAGAAATATGTCCACGACGATTATCGCTTCAGATCCAAATTTATGGCAATATCACACAAATTCGTTCCACCTAATTTATTGTCCGTTTACGCTTACGATTTAAGTATCATTTGGGACATAGATGTCTCGCAAATAAACTAAGCAAGTTTAACAATTCGGTTTTGTTTCAACTCTATTAGAGAAATCGTCAACACGGTTATGCTATATATGTATGTATGTGTATTTACAGAAATTTTTTTCAGCTTATGTCAGAATTAAAAGGAAAAGGGAACTTTGTTGCAAATGAAAACACATTATGATTCCATAACTGTAAGAATTAGATTTTTATGGATTTTTATGCATTTCTAAACTTTCGTGAACACCATTAAATAGTATCTAAATAAAATTGTTTCTCCTATATAGAATTATAATTAATACTCTTTTTTAAATATTTTATAAAGTTCTGCATATTATGTGCACTTTTGAACCTTCCGATTTTTTATAAATGCATAAAAATCACGCAGTCTAATAATAGTAATATTAATATTAATGATAAAATTCGAAACTTAAATATGATAAATTAACTTCAATCATAACAGATTTGTTATAATTATGAGATCTTTGCCGCGAGTTTGATGGCGATTTTCATTTTTATAGAATTCGGTTTTAGTTAAGGGTAGGAACAGTTTGCACCTTAAATTCGTTACTCTCAATTTACACATAGATCATTTAGTTCAGCTGCGTCAGATGGAATCACAACCATAATTGTTTCGGTGTTTGTCATATAATAAAATTGACATTTTTGCTCTTGAACGCTTCACTGGATTCGCTGGATTTCGTTTTTTTTTTTTTTTTTTTTTTTTTTTTTTTTTTTTTTTTTTTTTAATTGACAACTTCGCAACGATTTTCCCTAGCGAATTGTAATTCGGTAAGTAGATACCTTGTTAACAAATTGTTTCCATGGGTTCTTGAATTTATATTCAGCAAAACTACCGCCAAGGCTCCGTCTCGTCGAACATCCTCTCTATGTTGTCACGAAGCATCTTTTCTTGTTCTGCAATATTTAAGTATTTTACTTGAAGTTACAAGTAAATATATTGGTACTATTGCTTAATTCTATTCAATATTTTATACTATTCTGTACACAACACACTATAAAACATATCAATATAAGTTTAGATTTTGCAAACGATTGACTGTTCTTTTTATTTAAATATTACCCCGAATTTCACATTGCGGTTGTTAAATAATTTTGGCGTCCAATTTTATATATTATACATTGTCAAATATTCGCGATAATATAATATACAGATATATGCACAATTATATTTATATTTAGTACTATTAATAGTAATATTTCAAAGCATGATAATTTTGAAACGACAACCGGACAACGTACAAATTTCACGTATTTAAGAGGTAATTCAAAAAAAAAGACTATCTTTCAATTTTATAAAATATTCAAAATTGAACTCACCCTTCGTTAGATTTGCAATTACACATTGCTTCCTAAGGAATTCTAGGCACAGAGTACGTGACAGGCCAAAGGCGTGCATGTTACACGTGAACGTTCTAAAAGAAAAAAAAAAAAACGAAATCACCTTGAAAACAATTCGACGCGCAAAATCATCGATCGTTCCATTAAATATATTTACCCTAATTGTCCAAAGACGATATTAGCTTGAAATTTTCGATCCTCAGCGGCGATGGCCTCTTGATCCAGAGACTTAGGCCTCGGAGGAACTGGCCTCGATGCTCTTTCACACTGAACCGCGTCGAAGAAAGCCGCTGTCCAAAATCTCATCGACGTCCATATCGGTTGTACTCGTAAATGTGTGTACAAATATTCACGATATGGTTCCAAGCCTGGTACTTCAACTAAATACGAACACAAGGCAAGGAAACGATATAAAAATAATTGATAAAATAGATATGAGAAATTTAAATATTATCCTAGGAGTTAGGAAAACCATACAAAAGATTATTTTCCATAAATATAGAAAATGAAAATTTTCTTATACAAGTTCGTTTGTACAAATATTCACGATATGGTTCCAATCCTGGTACTTCAACTAAATACGAACACAAGGCAAGGAAAAGATATAAAAATAATTGATAAAATAGATATGAGAAATTTAAATATTACCCTAGGAATTAGGAAAACCATATAAAAGATTATTTTCCATAAATATAGAAAATGAAAATTTTCTTATAAGAGTTCGTTTGTAAAAATTTCGCGCATTGCTCGCAACGAAGAAACATTGACATGCGCGTATAGTATATATATTTAAATACATACACGTTGTGTATTAACATTTTATGTTTACGTTTATGTATGAAGATAACGTACACGATTGTCACATATCTGGTAACAAGCGTCACCTTGTCGTCACGTATGTTCTCTAGTCGATAACGCTGTACACTTGTTGCAAAAATGCGGGAGAAAAAGTCGTCTATATCGAGCCTTATATGCAGCACGCGTGCTATTTATACCTAATAGAAAAAATTCTATGAAAATTAGATTTAGATACCTTCGTGGTAAAAAGTAAAGCACATGTTCATGAGACTTTTGGCAGGCGCGAAATCATCCGCCTCGTGGCATTCGAAAAGTGCTACCGCAAAATGTTGCGCCAGGGAATAAAACGATGCTTCTGTTACACAGGGACGAGCTCTTCTTGCGTTCACCACTCTGGAGAACCATATCCTCCCGGATTCTGTCTACGTGAAATCAAATCAACGCATTACCCTTCTCTTTGAAATTACGACCGCACGCAAAATTCAATAAAGGTTTAATAAAGTGATCACGTCACGTTGCAATTTAATTTTAATCTCAAGAGCGAAATTCGTGAAATTGGCTTTGGAATTTTAGACGATTGTTTTTAATTGTAGAAGTCTGAGCGTTTTTAGCTATTGAAATTGAAAATTCGAGGTACAGTGCTAGAGAGGATGAATCAATTTTTCTAGCTCTTCCTGGACTTTAATTTGTATTCTATATCGTAGATCCGTGATAAAATTATTGATCTTTATTATGAAAACTACAAAATATAAATGACAATAAAATTAACTGTTGTACGATACCGACGAAGAGGGAAAATGTATATATACACACAATTTTGAATACGTACAAGGACCATTTGACCGAAACTTGCTTTTTGCTCCTGATCGATACTATTCGGAGCGTCGAATAAAAGAGGTACGAAGGTTTTCATAAAGTCAGCGGCAGCTTCCTCGGATTGACTATCCGCCGATAAACTGGAAGCCCAAGATTGAACGGACCCCGACGAACCTAAATTGAAAAAGCATAAGTTGTTAATCAATTAAATTTCAAATGATTCGTACAATTATGACTCAGGTTTCTAATATCTCAAATATAATGTTTTGTTGCCATATGATTTTAATCCCTATATTTCTATTAAAGATAGATAGATAAATTATATCTGTGTTTCTAAGAACAAACAATGATTGATCTCTATTAACTTAAAATTTTATTTTTACAGAAATTTCTGGTAGAATCTGGGACATCACCTGGTTCAGTGTCGACAGAAGAGTATTTAAATTAAATTTTACCTGATCTCTGCCACAATCGACGACCGTCCATGTTCGAGTCTAAGCTCGTACTGGGTCCGTAGCCATCCTGATCGCTCATCGAATCGCTGCTACAAGGCGGCATATCTGAAACAACATTCTGCAGGAAATACTCGCCTAATTTGACAGAAAATTAGGCGTATCTACGGCTCCCCTAATTAAATACTCGTGACTGGTGCGTGTGCCACGTTATTATATTGGTTTCAACATTTTTGGGAATATGTCTAATCTAATGTTTGAAACAGGAAACACACAAACACAGGGCCGGTACAGTGAAGCTATCGTACTATCAGAAATTGTAAGGACAGGTATACGTGTACTATATAGGGATCAAGTCTGATTGAATAAGCGAAATTTCTTACTTTCAGAAGATTACATGAGAGTATATGACAAAGAGGGAATTAAATTTGAATTGGATGGAGGGTATTTTAACTTAATACGTGTCGTTAATAAAAGACAATGCGTTAGTTGCAAGTGAAAATCTTCATATTTTCCGTAAATTTTATTAATCATAATGCTCTCTTTCGTCTTGGAAAACAAAATGTATATTCTATGTGAAAAATATAATGTGAGTTATAAATTAATTACTTTTTATTGACTGATTTGTTCGAAATAGTACTTTAATATAGTTTTAAAAATTTTCTAAATAATATAATTTTCTAGAAGTAATTAATATTTATCATTAAATTGTGTTTGTTGTGCATAAGAGCTCGATAACTATTGATTAATCAAACGAAATTCTTACAAAAATCATTATTAACTCATTTAGCTTCCACTGAAATACTAATTACATTTGTTCGGTTTATTTAATGTTAAAATTTTAGTAATTGTCACAACATTCATCTCACGCATTTACTTGTCAAACTAAAATGCACGTAAAAGGTTCTGTCTAAATTGTTATATTACATCACACCAAATAATTATGCGCGTGTAGATTTGTAAAGCGTAAAAAACAACATACGTTTTCCACCAAGGGACACAAAACTCCACGAGCTAGGGTTCTATATGCATTATTGTTTCTTGTATCGACAGAAAAGTTGCAATATGATAATTACTGACTCTTTATATATCATTGTTCTTTATCTCAAATTATGCATTGTTTTGTAATTACATAAATTAATGCATTGTTGTACAACGATAATACTTAAATATCACATTAAATATTATTTAACTGATTAATTATAATATTTATAGAACAACGTGAAAGTACAGCAGAACCTCAATTATCAGAGGTCCAATTAACGGAATTATCGATTATTGCAATATCGATTACTAGAAAATTTAACGATAACCTTTCGTAAGAAAAAAGGATTGTAAAAAGGGGAAGAGAAATTGAAAGAAATTGTTGCACATTCTCATTGAAAATATCTTTTCTGTTTAATTGAAATCAATAATTAAACGTAATCTCTTTCCATGGGAAAACGAAATTACTCGATTAACCAATAGCATCTCTATTCAAGGCTCTTCTGTATTTTTAATGAAACTCTTTACTGTCGATACGGCGAAAACAACGAAATGAAACGAGAAGGTGATTCGTGAGAAACGAACGAAACCTGTGATGGTTCACATACATATGTACATTCACATCCACGTTCATTTACCTAAACGAAAAACGACCGTCTGATAGCGAGTCGGGGCCCTTGCTTCGTGACAAAAGAAACAAAAATATATTTATATAAAAACGTTCTCCCCAAACAAAAATAATCTTATTAGTACAAGTGTTTTCATGCTGAAAGTAAACGTGTTGGAAATAACGGACTTCATAGATAGAGATATATTACTTTAAAGGTTGAAAAAATACTGAAAATGCATCCATAGAGTTTCAATATTACATCAATATTCGTGAAAAAATCATAGGTATACGTAATTAATAAACATTCATTTGCATAGTTTTTTTTGTAATATTTAATGAGGAAATAATATTTTCTCACTAAAAATAAATTTATAATGTACTTTCATGCCCAAAATAAATGTTTCGAAAATAACGAAATTTATGGAAAGAGATATATTATTTTAAGGATTAGAAAAGTACCAAAAATGCATTGTTTTTAATTACATCAATATTCGTGAAAATGACTGTAGTTACGATTAACGAACATTCGTGTATACAGTGACTTTTTTTCTTTGTAATTCGTTCAGTGGAAAAAGAATATTCTTGTAGTTCAACTCACCTCCCTTGTAGTTCAATTTATCGAAAGGATCAGGTCCAGTGGCCTTGAGATCCCTTTCTTGAAGAGGCTCTATACTTTCTTGACTGTCTCTGTCAGGGCTGTTATCTTCCTCTACCTTTTGCTCTTGCTTCTTAGTTCCGGCTGACCTCGACGAGGCTATCTCCTCGTAGGTCATACCCGGTGGATATTTCCTCATGCATCTCGACATGTTCACGCTACCCTGACGCTCCAATTTGTGCCTGGCGATCGCTTCGTAATCTTCGTAAGTCAATCCTGTTCCAAATCTACGCACAAAACCATAAAATTATGAAATTTCAAGGACACTCTTCTATTTGAAATACTATTGGCGATCAAAATGAACAATTTGTATTTTTTTTTTTTATAAAAGTTTTATAGATTCATTCAACAATGCATTTTTGGAAATCTCAATAATTTTCCATGACATTTTTTTCTCATGTTTCTTGTACTTTTTCGGTGTAAATTTTACACTTTAGTTGTAAGTTTAATTGTAATAATTTTTCATGGAGATTTTACAGATTTAGAAAGATGTATTTTTAAAGCTCTCAAGGATTTTTCGTATGGAATGTGAATAAAAGTGTCCTTTATTGTACTTTTCCCTATTCTTTGTACTTTCGTTCCTCTTTATAAGAGATGTTTATGCTTCGGTCGTCGATAGTTCTAGCGTTAAAAGATATCTGAAGGACTTCCTGAGAATATCAAGGAAAGTTCAAAGTGAGAAGATTTTATTTAGAATTCTAAGACAGAGAGATTGATCTTTTTCGAAAATAAAAATATTATTTGAAATGTATAAACCATTAAATTCATAACAATTTTATGTATCCGTGCATTTATTTTAGATTAATTTTCTTAATCGTATGTATGTACAACTAACTACAAGTTAACTACAATATACAATAGTACATCTCACATTTATTTCTATCTTCGTACTTCAATTCTAATTGAATTTTCGACAATATGCTCTAAATTATTTTATCCTATACTCGTCCTACCTTGATTCTACACACGCAATAACATTAATAGAGCAGAAACAAGCTTAGATGGTGTCCAATTACTGTTCTCACCTCTAACACGCTTTATTCTCGCTACTTAGGAAGAGATTCGCGAGACAGGAGGCTTACCTTGGGAGCCTTAATTTCCTCCTAGCCAACTGTTCTTCCGGCTTGGCAGTCTGAGGTGGTGCTTGTGGCGAAGAGGGCGGCGTCGACGGCGTCGTGGTCAATTCACTTTCTTCTAAACTGCTACTTAGAACGGATCCTATTCTGCTACCCAAACCCTGAAGATACTCTCCGCTACCCCCTAACGCAGACTTGACAGACCTGAGTGCACCTCTGGTGCGTCCAATTAGGGACGCTCCACCGGCGGATGGCATAGCCGTGGTTACATCCACCATTTTCTGCAGCAGGCAGAAGTAACAACAAGTCTCGTAAGTATTTGACATCAGACTTCGTGGAACTCTGCAGTTCTTCAGCTTCTACCAACGAGTCTAACGATAGACGCTACTTCTGTTTTCTTTTCTCAGTGAAGTTTTTACAAGTTTAATTTGAATCGAACAATCAGCATCCGCAGTAAATTAACATCAAATTTTAAACATCAAATTCTTGGAGAATTGTCGAGATTTTTAGAACTTATTGCTAATAAAAAAAATGGTTACATCCACTATCTTCTGCAACATTTAACGTTAGACTTCTTCAGCTTCCACCAACAAAAACTTATTTCGATGTTTGTTATCCTTGGCTCTTGTTCTCTAAAGTGGATCCTTCATATTTTTCAAATTTTTAAATTTTTACAAATTCTAAATCTTATTCGAATCGATCGAACAAAAAGTAGATATATGCAGTAAATTAATATTGAAGTTGGAACAATTATTGGAAAATTGTCAGAATTTTAGGAACGACTTGAAAATAAAGTTGTTAAGGAAAAATACATGACAAAGTCAGAGTTATACTCCATTCTGCTGTAGATACGTACAATAGTCTCGTAAATATTTAACATTAGACTTCATAAAAATTACAGCCTCTCTGCTTCTGCCAACAAGTCTAAGTGGAAGCTTCTAAGGTCAACATCGTTGATTCCTCATTCTGCTTGCTTTATGTTAAATTTTTGCAAGCGTTTCTTTGTTAAACTTTGTAGAAATATTTGAAATAAAGATATTAATCTTTCTGTATAATTTTGCAGCAATTTAAATCAATATCGATTATGATAATCATGAATAGAATATAGGCAAAATTGGCAAAACAATATTTGTGACAAATAATGGGATAAGAAATTACGACAATCACCATCGTTGATTGTGTTTATCTTTGTTTAGTCAATACGAGAGGAAAATTTTAGTGATTTAAAAAAGAATGTGTTTTAAATATTAGATATAAGAGTTATTTTTCCCAGTATAAAATTTACTAATTACTAATTAGTACTAATTTCATTACAATTTTGATTGCAATATCGTACAAACTACATAATACATTATTATACAATATAAAATATATAACGTAATAGAACAATGCGATGAGATCTATCATTAACTACGTCATTGTACATCTATATCCAACATAACGGAACCTACGAATCGAAAATCCTTCATCTAAATTTGGACATCGTAACAAACTTGAATCAATATCAGTTTTCTAGCTGGTTGATTGCTAGTCGTCAAAAGAATCTATTGCCTTTATTGAGGCGTGTTTGCCATAATTTTGACATAATACCAATGGAGAACATCTTCTTTCGATAATAAAATTGCTCGGTTAACAAAGATATTGTCGAAAGACAAACTTGTTTCAGCTTATTACCTTTTGTCGTTTAACGAGCATCGTTACGTTCGCAACGGGAAATAGTGTTAGACAAGCAATAAAAGGCGCATTGAGAATGTATGTAGGTCAACAAGGCACGTATGACTGTAAGTACGTGGAGCGTTTTAATATCCGAGCATCGTACGCAAAGCGATAAGTGTCAGAAAGGGGAGAGCTGTTTAAAATGAAGGGAATGAAAGACACTTTTCTGCGGAAAAATACGATGGTGAGATCGTATGGAATTGTGAATAGAATATTTTTTAAGATTGATGAGATTCTGCAGATGATACTGGTAAATGAATTGATTATTAGATGACGAATTATGTTAGATATTATAAAGTAGAATTTGAATTAAATGTAAACTAAAATCCGTTTTAACAGCAAAATAGAAGCAAATGTTGTGTGATTAATTGCCAATGTTATTACTCTAAATTATTTCATCATTATTGTTAATAAAATAAATTATTGAATTGTTAATAACGAAGCATGGATATGTACACAATCATTCATGCAAATTGTACTGCGGTAATCGATACGTAGACAAGATGCCAAAATTATTGGCGAGTGTTTTAATGGAAATCTTTTTACAAAGTATATTGATTGAAATTTCAAATTTTTTGTAACACGAAAAAAATTATTTTTATAATACAAAAAATTGACGATCATTTATTGAGTTAATCTTCTAGACGTCAGATTTACAATTTCAAACGTTTGATCAACATAATCTTACATCAATTATATTTTAATTACATCAATTATATCAATATATATTTTAAACAAATGTATTTTAATTATATCAATATATATTTTAAACAAATGTATTTTAATTAATGTATCTCTTCACTTTCCTTTGTAATTTTTGAAATCGTGATACGTAAATTTGGTGCGTTCATTTCTTTAAATATTTAGAATACTGTTTACGATGAAAGCAGCAGGAAAAAATAAACCGTAGAGAACGAAACATTTCTTATCCTTTGTAGGCTCTTACTACTACGTAATAATATTTCTGCGAGATATTATTGCGAAAGAAAATGCGAGTAGGCAGGTGAGATATTAAAAGTTACACGTAACTTTATGAAGTCTGTTTTAAAGTGAACTTTTATTTTTCATTTTTCACGTTCCATGTGTGATGTAACCTAACCTTTAACATTAACGTGTACATAACGTTGCTGCTTGGCAGCTTCATAACTGCCTTCTCAGTCTCTTTATTACGCATTCATTACGCGTATATACAAGGTGCTTGGCGTAAAACAGGCTACTTAAATATTTTCTCTGTCTATGACAATATAATTTTAAGATACGTTGAATTATTCAATGTACTTCATTATTTAATAATCGAGTTAACTGGTTAACATATTTCTCCATTTTTCTTCATCGTTTTTGAAGATCTGTAGCTATATAAAATTGATGCGATTGTTTAAAATGTTTTCCACCAAAATATGTTACAAAAAAAATTTTAATACTTCTTAAATAATAACAAAAATAATCTAATTTAAACTAATTTAAAGATGTCACTTTTTTAATAGATAGTCAACTGTTTCTAGATTATAAGAATTTTAGAATTAGCACGGGACTTACTTTAAACGAAATTTCAGGTCAACTTGCATTTATTTATTATTTCTCTGTAGATATTTAAGACTTTGTTCGCTGTTAGACCTCTCAGTCTATTAATAAACGATCCATAATACGCATAGCAAGAAAGTATGAAAGTAATTTTCATTTACGATGAAATTTAACAGTCTGTAAAAAAAGCTACATACATAGAGAGCAAACGGTCGTGATAAGAAGCAATCGCGGATGTCCTTTCAGATAACTCATTCTGATTGAAACCGCATGAGGAAACTTGATTAATTATCGCTTGTGTAATTTAGTATATCTTTATTACCGTGCTTTTTTGCTAAATTTATCTTCATTTAAATGTTTCATGGCTTTCACTTATCAACAATGTAATAAGAGTAATGCAGAAACCTTGTCATTGTATACAAATTGAAAGCAATTTATTGTATAGAGGAAAAAAATTAATTATGTTTAATATCTACATAAAATATTGTAATGCGATTCTATATTGTTCTAAAGATAAACAGTAACAGATAATGTAGTGTGAAATTTAATAGGTGAGAAGAATGCAACTGTGCAAAATTTAGGAAATAAAGTTCAAGAATATGAAATTTAAGAATACTTCATACTTCTATCACTTCACTATTCCTTTGCGAATTGTGCATAGAATGCTTTAAACGAAATTTATTTGGAAAATTATTTCAACCAGATACAAATTTAGCTTTCAGTATTTCTAATCTGCAAATAACAATACTTATTTTCAGATATCCGTCATTCGAAGTTAATTTAAATCCTTTAAAAATTAACGTTCAAAAATAACATTCAAAATTTTTTGAAAATTTTAATCTTAATGAGAAAATAAACTTTGCAGAAATCTGTATCCACAAGAATGAATATACTACACGGGAAGGCGAAATTCATAAACATTGTCCTTCGTTTTATCATTGTCCTCCGTACGTTTTGACGGAGTACTCGAGTGAAGTTTGTTTGAAAACCGTGATGTTACGAGGGAGAAAGAACAGAGGGAAGAGCTCTTTCAAAATCTGAAAGTAGATCATCGATCGTGTCAACATCTCCATCGAAAGTTCGATGCCGCAAGAATTTCAGATTAAGCCGCCAGCAGGAATTGCGTGGGTGGAAGAGGATGTAACATCGAGCAACAAGCATGCCAAGGTTGTCGATGTATAAACGATGTAATTTGACCAATGCTCGGATCGATCCTTTCCTTTTCAACCATCTAGTCTACACGCTATTGCAAAACAATGAAACTAAATCAACTTCTTTGATTCCAGGCCACAAACTCGAGAGAAAGAAAATTGAGCAGAACGTCGAGAAGTGGAATTCAGAGGAGCGTAAAGATTTCAGATAAAGCATTTGTCTTGAAACTAGAAACAAATTGCAAGTATAGAAATTTAGTATCAAGCTGTGAATTGTAAGTTTATAAAAATTTTCTAGTAAAAAATTATGAATTGGAAACATTCGGCCATCCTGGCGGTTCTAGCGTTAAGTTGATAAGTCAAATAGCACAACGTCGAACGATATTTTAAAATACATGAAAACGTTTCGTTTATAGAACGACCGAATAGATCAAATAACGCCGGACGTCATTGATCGATGGAGATGAACGAAGCGCCACGTCGAACGCGTTTGCATCGAGGACAAACGATCGTAGAATTTCACAGAATACACGAGAGCACACTCGGGGAATACACTTCAGGCGGGACATCGTCGCAATGCAGCTTTATCTATACCGCGCTGTTCCGCACCATACGGGCCGTTGCTCAATTTACAATGCCACGAAGCATACGTTCGTGAACCTCTCGACTCTCGTAATTCGCTGTAATTCACGTGAAATTCTCATCTGAACGTGCGAAATGGCACACAATCTATCGTCGATGGTCAACAATTCGCTTATCAAACAACAGTTACTTACTATTTTTCTTTTCAGTTCCAATGAAGTATCGTCCGAGCCATGGGTCAAAGGAAAGAGGGGAAAGACGAGAAGGATGCCTGGTGCACGAGACGAGGATGAAATTGAACCGAGAAGGAGCCGAGAGTTTCGCGTGGATTCGAAGGGGAGAAACGTAGATTACTAGCCAGCCTATCCGTTCACCCAAGACACGAGAGATGTTTCCATCGCATTAATGAAGCGTCCGACGAATGATCCGACGATTTTAATAAATAAAAAGATGTACCGTTCGGTAGAACGAGCGATTAGGCCTGCCGTTGCAACGCGACTCTCCTCCGCGATCACCTCGGAACACGTGTCTGGCCACGAACGGTTCTCTACGCCGTGACCACTTAAGCCTTCCAGCCGTGCACACCGAACGTAGCGCAGTTGCTTACACTGGCTGGCCGATTCGACTTGCGTCGCTCTTCCAACATGTGATCCGATTAGCGCGTACGCATGCGTACCGCGCGATCAATACAGTTTTACTTACCTCTCTTGCTTCGTATCAAGGTGGTTGGTATGGCAGAGGTGCTGGTTCCGTTAGTCGCAGACAGCAACGCACCGACTAATGGTAGCTGGTTTTGAAACTATCAAAACCAGCTAGTCTTCGAATGTCCGATGATTTCGTATTCCGTGTTTTGGGGATCATCTGATTCTCTCGTGTCATATTCTAACATATCGATTTAGGCAGGTTCTGCACCACAGCGCCGTTGATAATAAGAACTAAAATCAGAAATGTAACGAAATAGGCAGTTATTTTCCAAGTTCGATTCGTTCAATAATCGCAGAGTTTATGATTTTGAATTTTCCTTTCTGAATCTCAAGAAAATCTTACATCAGATAATTCTTAGAAAATTCTAACAAAAATTTATATGTGCTTTCAACATTTGGAATATCAATTAAAACTCGCGTGAAATTTGTGTTATATTACTAACTCCCAAAGTTAATAGAAAAATGTTCTTCCTTGTCGATTTCTTGGTCAGTCCTTAAGAAACTAAAATATTCAATCTAATATATTTATTATTAATATAATAAATATATTATAATATATAGTATAATAATATAATTATATTTATTAATAATATAAATATATTCTAATATATAAAAATTTACTCCCAATTTAAAAAGTATGTGTCTTCAATGTGTGTACATAAAACTACGACTCGTGATTAATACCTGACTAAGGTGGATGAGATCCTCTACTTATTACAAGTTGATCAAAAACCGATATGTAGCGGATGTTCTTCCCCCGCCTAGTATTAACTACCACGTGGAACTTCAGTAAAATGAAGATCCTGAACCAGCCAAATCCACTCATCTTACCTCCATGCAGTGCCAGCCGGGATCCACTGGATTACACTCGGGATACGAAAGAGCGACTGGTGCCACATAAAAGAACCCTGATTCCATTCGACGGGTTTCATTCACTTATAACGACACCGATAATAAGGTCCAAGAAGGTCGAAAGAAGGAAAATCCTGTCCACAGGGTCCTACTCCTCTTTTTCTCGTCTCATCTCTTTCTGAAGGAAGTCTTCAAAAGGAACGCTTCGAAAAGGTTAAGAACGGATGATTAAAAGATAATGACGTAATTTATCTTGCTCATTATCTCTTGGTAGTTAAGACGAGTGGAGGAGAGGGAGTTAAGGTAATAGGTACAAGTCTTGCTGCTTCGAGAGCTGTAGTCCGAACGACACTAATAATCGAGAACAGTTAGTCAGTGGTGTGTTTTTCCTTTTCTCATTCTGCTCTTGTCGCTTTCAAATAATATGACGAATTTCACTATGTGACATTTGTTTGCAAGTTGACGTAATGTCATCATTTTACGTATAATTGAAAAAAGGTTTTGTCGTACTATGGATTTTATTAATTAGATAATATTATGAGAGACATCGGATGCATAATATTTTTTGTCATAATACCATTTTATCTTTGTGTCGGGGTGACGTTATCGATTCAGTGTAAAATAAAATTACAATGGTAGTAGAGATTGGAACAAAAATTAAATTTATGTACGCGGTCTCTTCTTTTTTTTCTTTTTTTTTTTGTTTCGTTTTCATTGATTTTAGATAAATCTGAAATTCCTACAATACCTTTCGTTAAAGGTATATCATTTTAACACAAACTACTATATCTTTCAGATCATCGTTTTATCAACTTGCAAATATAATTTCTATGTTATATCTGCATACATTTCAGTTGACACAGTGTTATCTAATATTTGGAAATCGCTTCCATATGGAAGGTTATTGCGGTATGACATCGCAGAAATTCTACAATCGCTGTCCTTTATTCGTATTTAAATGTATCTACGAAAATATACGACTCATACGATTACGATTAATTTAAAATATCAAAACGCTTTGTAATATTCGATCCTGCCTAGGTTCCACTTTTTTAATTCTATTCGCGAAGATATGAATTTGTATAGAACTCGGTAGATTGTAGATAATTTTCAAAAACTTTTTCAACAACCCCAGGCGCAGAACATTGCGGTGGAACGTTTTTAAACTAAAATTTCGTTTGAGAAAGGAAACGATTATCTCGCTAATTGGATTGCGGATTTTTATATAAAATGGGCATAAAATGAAACAGACAGAAAATATAAAGTACCCGTAACAAAGTACTCATTGAAATATTTAACAATTAAAACAATTCTCTAGCTAAATTTCATTCTTGGAATTACATTCGCAAAAATATGAACTTGCATAGCCACAATGAATTATGAATATCAATCACTTCCTTCAATTTTCCACAATTCATCGATAAACAAAATCCCAAAATATACCAGTATTAACGACAATGGAGTACAAAGGATCAAAACGAAGGGTTCTCACAGTCTGAATAACACGTAACAAGTAATCGAGTATTTTTCTTTTTTCTTTTTTTTTTTTATTTCTCGATAAATTTATGCAGAATACAGTACTAATTATACACGAGGTGTATTTATACTTTATATCTTGTATTTATATTAATATATATTCTCCCGTATCGTCTCGTCACTTTGTTTCTCTTAGACGTTGTTACTTAATTACATCACATCAAACGGACACGGTGCTGAATGGTTTTCTCATTTTAGCGATTATGTACACATCTGTTGCGGTTAATTGTGCCGGTTAAACGAACGTTGAACGGTGGAACGACGAACGAAAAAAAGTCGAAGCGGAAAAAACGTACAGCGTACGACATTCGACTGCCCACATATTTTCTGCCCCGCGATCATTTTGTTCGATCGACGACAGCATTTCAGGGATTTAATCGACGATTGTATCGTACCGTTTTCGTCGGGAACCGATGGAAATCGAACTTTCGTACGCTTCGGGGCTTACATGGTGCTGTTTTATACGCACACCCGGTGTATACGCGTGTTATGCGTGTATGTATGTACGTGTACCCTTGAGTTAACTTATCTTATGAATTACGATTATTGGTCGAATATTGTTGTTCGAAGCCTCTCTCTCTCTCTTTCTCTCTCTCTCTCTCTCTCTCTGTGTTCTGTAATATCGATTCTTTTCTCGCGAGCTTCTGTACACGAGCCACATGCCGCGTTCTGACAATATAATATATGTATGCGTGTATATATATATATTTTTTTTTTTTTCTCCTGTGTTTCTTTATACTTCTTTTTATAGTTTATTTACTAGATACACCTAGAGCGAAGCGTTACAATAGGTTTGTACGTACGTATCAAGGGCGCATTACCGTGGCTCTTTGTTCGAGGTGTTGAATCGTAAAGCGGTCTCGATACGTACTCTCTGCCTGTCTCTGTTCTACTAGGAAAGGCCAGTATTTGTTCGAAAGAAAGAGTTCTAAACGATCAAGGTGAGAATGAGCGACGCGAGCGATGACGCGCGATAATGACGCCGAGGAGAAATCGTTTGACATGAGAGCCAGGTGAACTAGATGCGGAAACGCGCACGCTGCTAATAGCCCGGCAATCGAAATAGAAACTTTTAATTTGAAAATGTAATTGATAATAAATCAGCCTGGATTGAAAAGAATTTAGTTAGAAAGAGGCTATAAATCAGCTGTGTGTTTGTGAGAATTTACTTTGAGGATTTTCAAGCGAAACGAGTGGATGAAATTTACTTTCGATAAATAAAGTAACAAATATTTTAAATAATACAGTAAATGAATGTAAGAATTTAGAGTATTTTTTAAGAAAAAAACTGTTGTGTTGGAAAACTGGAAATGAAAATACGAGTCAAAAATATGATACTGTACTTAATCAGATTTAATTCTTAATTTAATTAAGAATTAAATATTCAAATATTTAAAACGCATTAATGAATCTAACTTAAAATTCAACAATTAACAAAGTATGTACTAATTTCTTTTCGTTGAAATGTACTATTGGACTGAGGATATTTATGCATTTATGGCGAATTTCAAGATACAAAAATGCACAGAATGCACGTAATATTCAGTAGTATATAAAATATCCAAAATACTATATTACACATTATAATATTTAACGGGTGAGACAAAATGCTACATAAGCACAATTAAATTATACATTAAATTGTATACGTATAACTTTGCATACATTAAATTGTATATACATACATTAAATTGTATAATTTAAATATGAATTTGCATAAAAATCCACAGTCTACAAATCACATGTGCAAACTTCTGAATGTTACGTTTAAAATTCCATATTTGCAACAATTTCTGCATCTAGCTCTCTCCTCACCTCGAGCTACGTATTTCACCATTATTCTTAATTACAGATAACTAATTTGTCGATCGAAAAATTGAAAAATCGAAGGCAATCAATCGGATACACGATACACGAGTACGACGTGCAGGTGTGTACTCGAGATTGGCGTCTTCGCTCGCGCGTTTCCTATAGTGATATTCTCTCTTGGTACGAGCATGGTTTCCAAATGTACTGTTTCACCTTTTTCTTTTTTTTTTCTTTTTCTTGTTTTTTTTTTTCTTTTTCATTAAAGTTTTTCTTTAAATTCTATCACGCGTTTTGGCCCCTCGTCCGCTGCAGGAAAGAAAATGAACAGTCGTGCCTGAGCACGTAACGCAAAAAGTGGCAAGTGCGTGGTCGCGATTCGCGCCGCGACGATGTACGAGCGTGCTTTGGCTTTCGAAACGAAGTCCGCTGCAACGAATTCGAAACCTCGTGCACAGTCTTACTTGAGAAATCGTCCTGACGGGGAAAATCACGCGAACGTTCCTCTGTCGGCGTTGCGAACAGGCAACTGATCTCGCTCACGATTTCTTCCACTTTTATGTACAATTAACGTTAACTCGCGTTTAAACGAGGATACGGGTCGTGTTCGGGGAACGTAGAACGGCTGTCACGAGTATCGTGACGCTTTCACGTTTGCCTGCTTCGAATGTATGGATGAGATTTCAATCGTTCTTTCGTGCGTTTATATTCGTAGAAAAGCAGGGCGAAACGAATTTTATGAATAAATGGAATCCTGGAAGCCTGAAAAGGAAATGTAACAAAGTATTTCAATCGATTTGAAATGAAGGCTTTCCAAATTTGAAGGTTCAACGGTAGTCTGACGTTTTTAAATTTTGCATCAAATTTCAGAAAATTTAGAAAATGATCGATTGCACGTATACAGAAATTACATATGGTAAATTCTGTAGGTATTGCATGTACAATTTGTTTTAAACAATCCAGGTTGAACCTTCCAAAATTTCAATTCAATTTCTTCATCTATATCAGACATATAATGGACACGTGTAATTAAGCACATTCCTGTTTTAATTCACGTACTGAATTCACTAAAGTACAAAACAATCATGTATCAATATTGTATTATATTTAATATAATAATTTATTTAATATTTAAATGAATTTACCAACACATATATGAAATATTCAATGTTAGAGAGATAATTTGTGTGGACAAGTAGATTCTCTTGCATGTCTATACAAGATGTGATGCATCTATTCTTTTCTATTAAAGCAGATAATTAGTTGATTGAAATTTATTAATCGAAACCATGTTGTATTTTATTATTCCCTGCAGTCTAAAGCATCGTACATTCGCTTTAGAAATTTTGTGAAATATGTTTCAGATATGTTTGTTGTACACTATAATGATTAATTATTTTCACAAGTCTTGTTTCCGAATTAACAAATACTGAGAATTATACGATACAAAATAAAACATAAATATATTGATACACTTGTTCCTAATATTTCAATATATGTTCGTATATTTCAATATCCATGTACCTTTGTGTGAAAAGCTACGCGAATCAAAACACGAACAAAAAGTGTTAATTACACGCACACGAGTAAAGTTTCGAGATTTCTAATCCGTATCCATCCGTATCCCACGCCAATGAAACACGACACGTACGCGAAGGAGAGAAATAAAATAAATACAGGACGGATATGTTTAACCTTCGAGCTAGAGACCTTAGATCCTACATCATCCCCTATATTCCTTACAAACATACGCGCGTTCGACATCCTTTTTTTGTAACACAATCCACTTTACGTTGCATCGTCCTCGACGAACGTTACGAGCCTCGACTCCGAAGGATCACCTCTCATTTGTCGTTCAATCGATCAGGAGGTTGGTAGGATAAAACGACGCGATTCCCCGATATGTTCAATCGAACGTTCAAGCTGGACGCGTTCGTAATTTCCACTTACGCGCGTTTCCCGCGTGAAACGCGCGGTACACACACACTCATTCCGTCCCTTTCCTCGTTCTATGCACGTGTATGTACATGCACACGAAACATGTGCACACGTTGAGTAAACGCTAGTGATATCTCTTTTACATTACATTTACATACATTAAAGCTGCACCATTACGTGTATATGAATACACATCTAACGTAAGTTATGTACAACGACGTTACACCCCTATGGACCTAACTCACACAACTAGAAATCTTCAAGTCCGATTCTTCCTGATTCTTCTACGCTCGTCCCACTCTCGTTTTATTCGTCGAGCCAGTCGCTGATTCGGGGACTTCTTATTCCATTTCTTCGTACGTTTCCTTCCTTGCTCGAGCATTGACACTTTGAAATTTCATCCGATTTTATTTAAATTGATACTGTTTGATTTATTTGTTACTTGTTTTTTTCTCTTTTTTTTTTTGATGTTGCATCATTGGAAATGACCTTGTTCGATTTGTTATATGCTCTTTCTTTTCAGTAAAATTTTCTGAACCTGTAATTTATTTTTAATCTTCGTAATAAATGTTCTTTTTATTTTTTATAATTTCGAAGGGACTAAAATATCTTCTAAACTGGATAAAATGATTATAAAATGAGAAATATATACTCTCTCGGTGTACTCTTTTGACAAAAATTAAACAGAATACAAAATTAGAAATTTGATTAATTATTTTTAATTTTGCATTAAATTGTATCGATTCAATAGCAGTCAAAGAAATTAGTGTAAAATTATCGTATTATTACGTGTATCAATTAATCAAATATTGAGAATGTTATTTCAAAGAGAGGCATATCAAAAATCGAACGAGAACAACAACGATGTATCATCTCGAATTTCAAGTGAAATTCCAAGCAAATTTCTTGAGGCGGTCAAATTTGCTAGAATTTTGCTAAAATTACTTTAGAGGGAGTCACTTTAAAAAGTCGAACAAGATGGCAACTGTGCAATATCTCGAGTTTCGAAATACTCCAAATGTTCTCAATTCACAGTTCCGAGTGTCTCGAATGCTAATGAACCTTTGTTGAAAAAGTCAAGTATCACGAGAACTGCACAGATAGAGGAGCACTTTAAAAAATCGAATAAGAACAGCGGCGTGTCTCGAGTTTCGAGCAGAATCCCGAAACAATTTCGCAAAGAATCTCAAGTTTCTCGGAAACTTGATAAAGACGAAGCCCGCGAGTGAATCGAACCGGAGAAATCGGACCGTCCCGGGAGAGAAGCAACTTTTTGGCCCTTCTCCGTGTCGAAGTTTCGAGGAGGCAGGTGTGAGCTTCCTTCGGTCGCGCGGAAATCCGACGTGTATCGCGTGAGCGCGTCGAAAATGGGGCTTGGCGCCGCGCGAAGAAGACTTTCAACTTCGCGACGTTCTATCGAGAGCGAATGTCAGATTTTTCCTCGTGGGAAACACTTCGAATTCGCCTCGAATTCGACACTTGTGCGATAGCCAGCCGCATCTACCGATCCTACAAGCTTCGTACTAACGATTCGATCAATTTTCGCGGTGAAGCTTCTTGAGAAAGATACTCTGCTCAAATACCAGGGTGTCATTAAAATTAGAACTATCAATCTATTATATAATTCTTTTCGCGGTAAAATTTCACTGATTTTTGATTTAGATATTTTTCTTCTTGCGTATTCTCAGTTTTTACATTATTCTTCGCTTCAGTGATTGATGGTTCTTTGAACGTTAGAAATATTACGTATTTTACGAAGAAATTCTTTTCTCAATGAGGACTTTTAGTAAAAATTTCTTCCCTTTCAAGCTACTCGTGAAGAACTAGATTTCATAGTAAACATCTGGTTAGGAATTTAACGATATCCTTAAGCTTCGCAATTATGCTAAAAAGACTTCTAAGGAAATACATTTTAGTTTTTATTTCGATATTTATTTGAAAATAATGAAACTAGATTCGTCAAAGGGAATGTTACGTGATATTTCTCAGACACCCTAATATTACGCTTAAAAAGCATTCGCGCTTACAAACCTACCCTCACGGATGTTCATCGGTAAACAGTTGAAGTCAGAGTTCACAACGTATACTTAAAAAACGTGAATTAGAAATTTCGAAGATTTCATGAAAAAAAAAATTCGAAAGTGACAAACAATCTGTATTTCGCGCAGCGTACAAACGTAGAATATCACGCACGAGCAACGGATTAGATCAGAGTTCATCCGTGAAATCGACTCTTAAAAAAATAGAAGAAACTATAAATTTCGAGAAATATACAAGAAAAGGGGAACACGATTAATTCAATTGTTATATCTAGCAGTATAGTTCGTCGAACGATCGGATTTCAATGTTACTTGTTTATCTTTCCCCTCTCCCTTTTTCCCTTTTCACTACTCGTTTAAAGATGAAAGTCTTCGTTCCATTGAAAAAACGTATGCTCTTAGTTACACACTAGTTGTAAGAAAAAACAGGTACGGACAAAGACAACGTTCCAATGGCGGAACGCTATGAAAAACCCGTCAACATGCTAATGTTTAGCGTCCTTTTACACTCGCTAGCACTTCATCGCGAACGGACAAAATTGTGCTGTCTAAGTACGTTTACGATTTCTTTCTTCTTCTCTTTTTTTCTGTATGTTGTGTATGTTTACGGTGTGTGTGAGATTTGTTTCTTGATTTTCGCTGCCTATCGCAGTTGGTAACTTTAGGCTACGCTTAAGATGGAAACTCGATCAACTATTTCTACATTTCGTTAGTAATATTTGCGCGTGAAATAAGCTGAGAAAGTAACGCCTTAACAATTGCTTGCCAATTTTTCTTTTTTTCTTTTAATTCGTAATTTATTGCTATTATCAAATTTTTCAGTAGTTAGTTTTCTGTTTTTACCACAGAATCGTATCGTGGAGTTTCTCATATTTTTATAATAACTCGTAACTGCGAAGTTATGAAAAATAAGTATGAAAATTAAACTCTAGAATACGACTGTAAATCATCTCGTTTAGAATGTGGAAAATAATATAAAAAAATTAGTAGATTTTATTTTCGATATTTGAAGTAATTTAATAGGTTTTTAAAAAGTAATGAATAATAAAAAAATAATAAATAAAGTTAATGAATTCTGTATTTTCATTGCATTTATGTTAATGTGAATTTCATGGTTCTAATGTTACGAGATCATTTTATAGAATATTAATGTTCTCGATTGCTTTTGTACTGACATGGATGAAATCAAAAATGAAAGAAGACATAAATTTGCATAACGAGAAAATGTGAGTTGAAATTATATCTTATTACAGTGACATAATGTTCCTAATATTGTGTCACATTTTATCTTCGATCAAAACATGTGTAAATTACTTGTTTGGTGACGCAATCAACAGCATCGGGAGTATCGATTGTTAGAAGTTGATGGGATTCAGCGAAAACGATCCTCGAATAGTATGTTAATTCGATGGAAAACGTACAAGTCACCACCTACATTTAATGTGTTTAATCCTTCATCAATTGAAAGTCACTTAATTTTCACGTTCATTGAGCAAAACTTCAAAATTGTTTGTTTATTGACACTTCTTAGGAATCTCAATTTTTTTAAATATTTAACAAAATTGTAATACTAGATGAAACCAATTCATTCAAGAAAAAAATAATAATAATATACAGAAGTTGAATTATTGAAAGACGTAAATGTAATTACGATAATTTTTATACTGCTTCGTCAAAATAGACAAATTTTTATTCCTACAAGTGTTTCAACTTCTTCAAATATCGCGATACAGTAACATAATGTAAATCGATTGAAGAAAAATTTATAAATAAAAACAAAGTTATTTAAGGATTAAGGGATTAAGAATTATTAAAGGATTAAGAAAGTCTGTTTTTTGAAATTCAAACTCATCCATGGTCGTATCCATCAATGATACGAACATTTCTTCTGTCGTATAAATATCATAAAATTCAAGAATCATAATGTTAACCACAATGTTAGGAAGCAAAATTTGACGATGTAAATTGCTCGAGATGCTGGCCCTTGATAATTATTTTCTAATCAGTTCAAAAAGAATCAATCGAACAATAAAACACTATCAAGGTTAAGGCGTCAGTTTCAATCAGCTTGGCAATTGCAAAGAAAGAAAGATGTTGGCAAAGTGGCTGGACAGTAGCGTAACCACCGTAAGAAAGAAATCCCGCGAAGCTTCTATTATTCTATTTACAGATCTCGCGGTGATCTCGCGGCAACGAAAGATCGAGAATAGGAGAAATATCCGTTGATATCGTGAGAATCGTGCAAAGGCTACGCTTCGATCGCGAGGAAAATCCGTAGATCGGAGACGCGAAAGGGACATCGATAGTAATTCTTTTGGTCGAGCGGGTAAGAAGGTGGCGTGCGATCGTCGTGATATAACGAGATCGGTGAAGAATATAGCGGTGGTAAACAAACGGTATAAATAGTCGTGGGAGTATTCTTAATTAACTCGTACGCTTGACCTTTCGTTTTGTTCGCTCGGTCGTCGGGGGAGATCACTTTCTTGATGACGCGCGATTCGTTTGGACGTGCCACTGGTGACGGACACGTAACACGCGATAGACACATTTCTCCTATTATGTGGAATCACGAGCTTCTTCGTAGCCTAAAATTACATATACTCTTGAGAAATAGAACAGCCCGCCGGATTTTTCATTCCTCGGATGCCGGCTGCGTCGTGTCGCCGTCCTCGCGGCTCTCGCTGCTCGCCTTTTGCTCCTGCTCCTTCTGCGCCCTTGCCTCGGCGTCTAATCATCAACAAAAGTCACGAAATAAAATAACATAGCGGTGAACGAAATTGAACGACATTGCTTATTTGAATTAAACGGAGTCGATTAATGACGAAGATTGAGATAAAATCAATCTATAATTTATAATATTATATATAATATAATAATAAAGTATGTCATGAAATTTTAATGATAAAATATACTATATTTTATACTGTAGGTTTAACCTCTTGCGCTGGAGTGACATGCCACGCACGTCGAGAATTTTTTATTCCAAAATTGTAATAGTTTCTCAGTTTTAAGTATATTTAAGTAAAAACAAATGATAAATTTATCACTTCTCAATAATTTCTAATCCAGTGATGTCATACCGACGAGTTCGAAAAGAAAGCGACGAATTATTGCATACTGGTTCTGGTCGCTCGTTATGGTCCGCAATCAGTTGCCAGCGCAAGTGGTTAAACGAAGGATCGCTATAATTTTATTTCCATGTAAAAATGAAAATCGGCGACGTGAGGGGATCAGTCTTTCTTCGTCTTGAAGAAATGACAAAGAGAAACAATCTAATTCGAAATACCTCGAACGGCCTGCTCCTTCCAAATTCTCTTGTTCTCCGCGAGACAGGGGATCCAGGGCTTACCGATTTTGAATCTTCTGCTCTCGCCGCCGGATCCTACGGATTATTCGTTGTTTGAATACGACCGGCACCCAGAGCGGCGGGCAAACGAGACGCATTAAAGCGTGACACAGATATGCTTTCGCTCACCGTTGTTCGACTCATCCACGTTCTCCTTTGCATTCAACGGAGCGAGAACTGTCTCCAGCATGTCGCTGCACACCTGCATACTCGGCTCGACGATAAACTCGATGAATCCTATTTGCGATTCAGCCACCAGTGTATTGTTACGGTCGCAGAGCGGAGAAAACGGCAATCCGAGAGCCTTCTCCTTATCCCCCTGCCGGAAGAACTCCTCCAGCAGTTGCATTGTCCATCTAAGTGGAAAGGAACAACGTCACCGCGCTTTTTATTCGCCGCGGCATTAAACTTTTATTCGACTTCTCGGTGCTGCACCTCGGCTCTCGTAAAACGCGGGCACCGAATTGCGCGACAGCGAGGATACTTTCGGAGATGAAAACTGCTGCGAGCAGCGATGACCGAGTTTGGGGGATGTTTGGTTAAGGGAAATAGTTATTAACGCTAATTGAAGCGATAGATATGGACGAGAATAATGTTAGATATTTCCTGAAAATCACGGTAGAAGATTCTATTTGGTAAGGAGGGAAATTCTATTAAGTTGGTGAATATAAAATTTCGTTTTTCTCGAAGTTTAAATTTGTTTGTTTTCAATTATCGTTCATTAAAGAAGAAGAAATTTACTGTAAAGTAATATACTATTTAATTTGCTATAAATTAATATGTTTAATAAATATCGAAACTTCATTACCAATTTCTTGATATTTTCTGTAATATTTTTATGCAAGTTTATTTAATATTTATAAGCATTTTGAATTGAGGATTGCTGGAAACAAATACATATTTAACATCTTGGAAAGATTAAATCTTCTATTCTACCTAAACAATTTTTAATGAATAAATCAATTAACAAGCGCTGTTCCATTCCAAGAATTTTGGAACGTTCAAATTGATGATTCTTATAAATTTGGAACTTGTTGAAAAGTACTGGATCGTATAGAAATTTTTATTTCGTTTAAATACATATTTTAAAAAAGCCATGCATGGTTAAAATCGTACTTGAACCGAGTATATTTGCTTTGTAACTCCCGATGCAAATTAATATCGGAATTAACCTCGGAATTTAAAAAATTCGTTCAGTTTCTTACAGAATAGGAGGGAAGGGAGGGAAGAGAGTTTCTACCTGTGATGAAGGTCCCATCTTTTGGCCGGATGTGAAATGTCACAACAATGAAGAACCAGACTGACAGCCTTGCTTTTGTCGACGCTAGGCTCTGCCAGGCTCAGAATATTTTTCATGTTCTTCAGTTGCTGGAAATGAAAGCTCATGTCGGTCGCAAGAACCATGTCGATCACCAACGAACGAAATTCTCGGAATTCCTCCCTCGATAGATTTTGTAATATGTTGCACTCGTCTTCTCTCAATATCCTGGAAAAGATCTCGCTCTTTTAGTTTATTCTTAGTAGTCTCTCTCTCTCTTTCTCTCTTTCTCTCTCTTTCTCTCTCTCTCTCTCTCTCTCTCTCTATTGAAATAACGGTTTAATTTTAATTAATTCTTGTTACAAAATTTTGAATATTACAGTGAAACAAGTAATTAAATGTTTTGATACTTTTGATCCCTCTCAGAATTATAGTCCAATGTTGATTAATTTTTCCAAATTCTTTGGTCGTTATGTTGAAATAAATGTTTAAGTTCTAACGACCAAATTTAGTCTGCTCTGTTAAAACTTCGTAATTACAAAATTGTTGCTTCCGTAAAAAAAAAAGAAAAAAAAACAATACAAAGCTATTTATTGGAACGAAATTTTAATTAATATCCAATCAAATCCAATTATAACGTGGAGAATCGATTTTGTAGAGAAACTCTCGTTGTATGAATTGCAATTATATATAATAACTGTTTGTTCACTGGCAAGCTTCGATAAGTGGAATTCCATTTTGATGAGAAGAGAAAGCAAAACGCTGAAAATGTTAGCTAGAAAATATTTATAAAAATTTGGTCAATTTATAAATATACATAACATTTCATTTAACGCGATATATTATGCAATGTTTTGATCTCTGAAAAATATTATATTGAATATCTCATAGTTTCTATCTATTTCAAACGTGACCAAACAATCATGATAATCGAGTCTCAATGCAATGTTAATGAAATTTCAAGATATTTTCGTACAATACACACGATATAAAGCTAAATATCTGAATAATGTTATCGCTGTAATATTTTGTTATACTTCATCGTCACTATACCAATATAACAATCAATTATTCTGCTTTTATGCTCAAATAATCCTGTGCTTAATATTATCATTAAATTAACGAACAAAACCAACAAAACACCCACTAATATCGACAAATTTCGCGCAATATAAACCATACGAGACGACGCCATAGTTCACGCAAATCAATCCGAACGAATTATCCGATGAAATTTCAACCGCAAAAGGGTTAACGTTTCCCCACTTCGTGTCGCCCCGTTCGATTTCGCCAAACAACAAGATCTACGAACCACAAAATCGGAACATCGTTCGTCCGATATAACTAGCCGCAAATTGAAACAGAAAATAACGCCTGACGATCGCGCGGCGAGGAGGAAGAGGAGGAGGAGGAGGAGGTCGAAAGCGCGCGCGTTTTCCGCCTACGTACGTACCGGAAACTCGCGGAGATGTGGTGATTTTCCAGGACGGCCCGATCGTTGTACAGCAGAGCTGTATCGCTGCCGGACATTACGTGGAAATTGTTTGTGGTCCCAGTGTGCTCGTAGTCGTGAATAATCGCCGCGACCAGCGTGGCGAATATCTCCAGATCGGTCAGCCAATTCTGCAAACAGGCGTAACGTCGTTTACACCGTTCGCGCGCGTATAATTCCTCGCTGTAATGGACAATTTCTCTGGACAGATGCCTCGAATGGGAATCGTCACCGAAGGAAACCGAGCAAACCGAAATTTATTCCTTAACTTCGCAGCTAATCACTTGGGTTTAGATTTCGTTCGCTCGTTTCGGATGCGGATCCTCGAGCGAGCGAGCGCGTAAAGCGGCACAAGTGTCGGATAACTTTTAAATTGGAAACTATTGTTGAACGGTGGTGGTAGTCTGATTTGGGGATTTGATGGCGGCGGGAAGGCAGAGGACGGGATAGTTTCCCCTGTTCGAGCATGAATTGCTTTTGACTTTTCAGTCTTCTGTCTGTTTCATGCCATTTCAGTTTGTTACTTGCGATGGATAATAATTTGGACGACGGAAGATCGGAGAATGGAGGCAATTGTATTTTCTTGTTGATTAATTTATCATGTTATTATTATTGTCTTTTACGACTTGTGCGATGAAAGTTTGGGAGAATCGAGATTCTTATTACAATTGTGATCTTTTGTTCTACGGTTGTTGCGAGTTTTTACACTTCAATTTCGTTGATTCGTATTTAAAGATATGGGGAGATACAATGATTTATAAAAATCATTGTATCTTCCCAATTTGAAACCAATGCACACTGAAATATTTACAAACGTAGATTCGTAGAGATAATAAAATGGTAAAAATTCATAAAAAATAAACAGAGAAATGACGTTAAATTATTGTTGCTACGTTTGATCGACCGACTTACCATAAGCCCTGTTTGACACAAAATATAGTGCATAGTCTGTGCGACGTCAGCTGCGTGAAGATTGTTATGGTATGGATTCCGATGCCTGCAGTAACCCTCCTCCACTCTCCCTAAGAAGCACTCCAGCACCGTTGCTGGCACTTTGAACTTGTGAATCATACCATATCGATTCAATAAATCATAGCCGAGATATTTCACCGGCGCTCCCATTGCGGCTTCGCTGAGTGAAAACAAGTCGAAGGACCAATCGTCTAAAGTCTTCAACAAAAATACGATCAGTTGCTATACGAATCAATGAAAAGTAACAAGATGGAAATATCGATTAAATACAACCAAACACATATATTCAGTTTTATTATAATCAATATTAAAATCATCATTGCATAATTGTAAACACGACAAGCCTTATATACTGTCAGAGCTTTTTATTTAACCACTTGCGCTGGCAACTAATTGCGGACCATAACGAGTGACCAGAACCGTATGCAATAATTCGTCGCTTTCTTTTTGAACTCGTCGGTTCATGATATCACTGGATAGAAATTATTGAGAAGTAATAAATTTATTATTTGTTTTGCCTATTTTGTTTTACTTAAATATACTTAAAACTGAGAAAATATCACAATTTTGGAGCAAAAAATTCTCGACTTGCGTGGCACGTCATTCCAGCGCAAGGGGTTAAATCCACTCTACAGCCAAGAAAAGCTACGAACACGAAAGATCGCGCGTACATAACTCCGACATCGTCGGTCGGAAAGATATCGCGTTGCGCAAATATTATCCCTCATCGATCATGCTAGACGCCGCGCGAATCTGGCACGATGACAAGCGTCGGATAAAGCTCGTATCGAATGCAACGCGAATGTACCTTGAGCACTTTCACCACTTCCTGCGGGAATTGCATGAGCGCGGTGTTGGTGACCCGCCTGTAAATCCGATCAACGAAGATCCCCGCCCTGATTGCGTGCGCCACCGAGCGGAATTTTGGCTTTTCGTCAGCCTTTCGCCTGGTGGTCGCGAGCTGTCTGGTGAACGTCGAAGCCAGCCATTCGCGCACTTCCGGCGGCACCGCGTCCGGCTGTACCTCCGAGAGTTCGTCATCCTCGTCCGCCAACCGCCTAAAGAAATAATTGTTTCTGGTTAAGCGACACGCGGCGAGACCAGGCGACGATCGCGGAAACAACTTGGAATCACACGGTGTGGGCAACTCCTACCTTCGCTACGATTCTTTTTTTTCTTTTTTTCTTTTTTTTTTTTTTTTTTTCTTAGAAGAGAACAGAGAGTAGGCTTATGCTCGAGTTCCGTTCAACACGGAAGCTTCTGTTATTACGACAATTCATCCCATTTGCCTTTCTTTCTACGCGTGCGTGTATTTTATTCTATTCCAATGTATTTTTAGGGAAAAATCAATTGTTTTTTATCATTTTTAGCTTTTCCCTTTTCTTTCTTCCCTTTTTTTTCCTGATTTGTTATCGAATTGAATGTTTTCTTTCCCTGGTGAATTTTTACCATCTATCATCACGTATGTTTTCCTTTCTCAGTTTTTTTTTTTTTTTTTTTTTTTTTTTTTTTTTTTTTTTTTTTTTTTTTTTTTTTTTTTTTGCTTTTTCTTTTCGAATGTCCCATTTGAGTGAGTTTTGTAAGAAATAAGTAACACTGTATTGTGACTTGTGATTGTCAGAAAGGATACGAATGATTCGCGAATTTCATTAGGGAGCAAGAAAGAAGCTAAATAGTAATCGAAGCTTACGCTTATCTCTGCCTCGGCGATCGTGAGGGGAGGTTTGCTTGATGATGTGCGCGTGAAACTGTTCTTTTATCCTTCATTTTAATGTGGAGAAGTTTCTGTCCGCGACGTTAAATTGGCTTGTCACACTTTTGGAAACTACTATTCAGAAAGATTTCACGCCTTTTTCAGGTGATTTTTCTGTTACTATTTATTTTTTTTTTTTTTTTTTTTTTTTTTTTTTTNTTCCTTTTTTTTTTTTTTTTTTTTTTTTTTTTTGCTAAGTTTCCCAGAAACGTAATTTGAAATAAATGAAATAAAACGTAATTTAAAATTTTATTAGCCTTGCGTCAAGGATTTTCTTTTTTTTATAATTAATCGCTATCATCATATGATTAGTTTCTTTTCCCGTGTCTTCGTGTTAAAAAGAAATTAGCTGTTCGAAAGTATGTCAAATATTTAAAAAGAAAAAAATGCAAGTTACATTAAAAAGGAATTAGTTTCAACCTTCGAGGCAAAATGTATCAAATGCTCCACCAACTGGCTATTCATTTTCAATCAAAATGATGATCGCATAGGGTCATTTTATAAAAGATTCTCGATTTATAAAAATTATCCGTAAATTGATATCGTGTTATGCTGCACGTTATGGAAAACATAAAAAGTAGCAAATTATGTCATTACATCGAGATGTTTTCAGAACCTGTTTTCAAAATTATCCACTCCATAACATTTTTTTTTTACGAGCTTCTTATCTCCTCTGACATGTAACAAATTGCCGCAACACGTAAACTTTAACGATCGATTTTACGATCTCTCTACTATTTCCGTTTCATCGAGTGGCGTAGACTGTAGAAAGCATTATCAAAATGTATCCGGCTTATCTGACAGTGCCTCCACGTTTCAACTCGAAAAGGAACGATCAATAAAAATGTCTACGAATAGAAAAGATCCTCTTGTAAAATCCTGTATAAAATTTCGAATCTTTGAAAATTTTGAAATTTTTTTAGATTAACTATAAAGTTGTTTGTACAGTTATATTATACAGGATATTGCACAAACTTGTTAATTAATCTATTATCAAACATCAAAACATAATTAAAAAAATCGTAAAATATATATATATATATTTATTTATATATTATTTAAAAAACCATTCAAATCTCTAAAAAATGCAACAAAAAACTCTGAAAAGTGATAATTGCTCATTTTCACCATTCTAGTAGTTAAGTTGTTAAATGAACTAACAATAAGAACACTAACTATAACAAACAATGTAACTATTAACACTGGAACTATTGATAACTATACAAGTCTAAAAATTCGTATCAGAGAAGAAGAAAACCATTCAAATCTCCAAAAATGCAGCACAAAGCTAAAGAATGGACGAGTTGGTCAGTTTGACGACTTTGTTAGTTAAATTGTTCCTTGGTCCCGCAAGATTGAATAA